TTTTTCTTCGCTAATCAAATTTTTTATGCTAAACATTTTCTAATTTCTATTACTATAGGATTTGAATGGATAATTTTATCTCACTGAGTTGATTTGGTGTAGTCAGCCAGTCAGCCACAGCGTTGAACTTTGTACGCACATACATCAGTTCAAATTGCCAAATATCACACTAGCACAGAGAAGTGGAATGGTTAGTTCAAATCCCATAGTAGGTAGAGATAGTAGAAGTATTAGCGGTGATCAAACAGATTAGGAATCGAAGATATGACTCAATAAGTTTATCCCAGTATAGTCAACTTAAAAAGAGAAAAAACCGGTCATGAAGAATTCACAAGATTAGAATTTGTGAGAGCACAAAAAATGGGATAAATCTTGAACCATTGCAAACGATTTTGAGCCGTATCATTTAAAGTCTCCAACCATCGGTTACAATGGTCTCGTGTAACACAAACAAGCAGTCGATACCTACTAGATATGTTGTAGTTTTATTTATTAAAATGAACAGTATAGATAAGGTTTCAGTCAGTCAGTCAGTCAATCGCAACATAGAACTTCCTACGTAAGCACATCAATTCAAGTTGCCATACCACATTAGAACACAGATGCGATTTTCAGTTCAAATCCCATATTGTTCGTGGTAATGGAGAAGATTAGGGTTCGAATATATTATTCAAAAAGTGTTATTCGGTGAAAAATAGCTTTAGAAATAGAAAGATAGAGTAGATAAGGAATTCAGAAAGTTACGATTTCAGAAGAGACAGAGAATGGATGCATCTGCACCATTGCAAACATTATTGAGCGACACTAACCATCGATTACGTTCATCTCTCGGACCCCAATCAGGTCATTTACACCCAGATATATTTTAGGTAACTTTATTCGTGATATAATTAAGTTAAAAGTCAGTGGATTGATAACTCTTAGCGGTATAAATTTGAAAACAATTCCAATTATAAAAAGCATGTTTATTGAAATCTGTGGCACTCAAAACTTGCAAAGTCAATACACTAAGAGTGTATAGAATTTGACTTTATTCTATCAAGAAGATCAAAGGATTTGATTGTGACAAATTTGGTACAGATATGAGAACGGATATCACTTCTCGGCTGCTCGCACCATGTAAGGGTGTTTCTTGAGGAACCTGAAAAGGAAGGTAGATTAGTGTTGGTCTTAACGACCTGGGAGCGTGGCCACAGAGTTCAAGGAACAACTGCTTAAGGCTGGTCACGCACGGCCTTTTAAAGAGTTAGCTCCGTTCTGGTTTAAAAGGCCTTAACGCTAGAGACGGAAATCCGTGAGGTAAGGTGAGGTGTGACATTTTTAGAATTGACCTTTTCTAACGCTTCCTTCCTTGCGAGAAGGCAGCATCGCTGCAGATGCTGGTTGCCCGAGAAAAACACCTTACTTCTATCACACCTCTCTACAGTCAGCGGTACGACTTCACTCTAAGACCTTGTGCAGCTATTTTTAGTCTCAACGTTCTCCAATGGACCTTCCTGACAGGGTAGAAAAAGATCACAAGATCGCTTTGAATGACAAAAGCATAACTGTTTTGAAGATACAATAAAAGGCATACATAACCTCAAATAACAACAACCGATAAGAGCATACAAATGACAAGTTTAATTTTGTTCATTAAAAAAAATAATTGAAATATTAACTGATTTTGAAATAGACTGAGTATCGATCAATTCAAATGATGAGTATAGCTTTTTTTATGCAGTTAACAAGCATGACAATGAGTCAAGTGATTAAAACTTTTCTACCAATAGTATAGAATGATTGCTGGGCAATAGAACTTTATGTACTCGTGACAAATTTCCTCTTGTGACAGTCACAGAGGAATCAGATCAACAAAATATAGTGTTTACACCTTTGGCCTTGATAATACTTAGACGTCTAACTAGAGCTCGTGAAGAGCAGACTCGAAAAAATCAGGCTACATTCAAACCTGGAAGTGGATGCATAGACCAGATTATTCATACTTTGACAGGTCATAAAACATAGACACATATTTCGGTGTCCAAAAATAGTTTGTATTCCTTAACCTTAAATCAGTATTCGACTGTGTTGATCGTGAGGTGTACCAAAAAAGTACATTACCCTTGTATAAGCTCTCAACTCGAACATTACTGGTTAAGCGAGAGCTTACACCGAACTACCTTTACTTCAAGTGAAGGCCATCAGGGTTGTCCCCTTTGTCCATTCTTGTTTAACTTTGTCACTGACGTGCTTTAAGAGATGAAACTGGCAAACGTTTACTTATATACAGTTTCCAAAGATCATCTCATACTTGCAGTTCATCGTAAAATTCACAAACAAAAGTGTCTGCGAATCTCAAATGCATCAATGGCAACCGAAAAACAATCAATAAATAGTTTGAAACTTTAAAGAGAATGATGAAATCCATGAGCTCTAATGTGTACATGATCAATAAAAGTAACAGAATCCTATTAAATAAGATTAAAAAATTGTTTAAATGTCATAATATGACAGAAATGCTACTACTATTTAAGTAAAATGTCAATAAGTCCGGGTTTTTCAATTGTACTCTTCATTAAAAACATATAAGCTAATAGTAATTTTATTGATCAACATCAAAAATAAACGGTAAACTCTTTGCATTTCATTAGGGTAAAAATATTGTTCAATTGTCAAAGTTGGAAAGTGCAATAAAGCTTAAAAATGCAATTGAACATTTAATTATACTAGAGAGTAATACTAAACAATAAAATTAGATATAAACAAAACAGTGTTACATAGGCCTTAAAATGAAGTGCACTTATAGTTTTTCTTAACTTAAAGTATGATTCACCGAATGTTTTGATCAGAAAGTCATTATTTTAATCATGTTAATCTAATTTGAGTTGTAATTTCTTACTCTAAGTGTTTAAACATTAAAAACTATTAGTCTTTCAACTATAGGAATGATTTTAGTCTAGGTTTACAAGAAAACAAAGTGACAGTTTAAAAATAAATCAACCGTGAAACTTTTAAAAAGCTCTAGGAAAATTGAAGTAAAAAGTAATCCAGAAATGTGGTATACATACAAATTTTTATGTTCATAAAGGCAAACGTAACTCTAATCAATTAAAGTATGGAAGATAGGATGTCATTCGAGTTGAATAGCTCAGTTACATACATCAATGGTTTCAGGGTCATAATCCTTTTAGATATTATCACCTTTTTGATCAATCAAAAATAACGATTCGTTTATACATAGTGACATATATTTAAGAAAATTGAAATAATTAAAGCATATAGACACAATAACAGCTAATTTCCCATAATTTTCATTATTACTGACTTAGTTGATTATAAAATAAATTACTAGACTTTCAGAAATCAATAATTATTCTGAAAATGTTAACGTAGAACTAGAATCCAAGAATCTAATAAGATGAGGATGTATAAAGTCACTTGAACTATTAGTGAACATAGTTGTTGAATAAAAGCATTAACTTAATTTCTATAGTTTGAGTAACTTAGTTTTTTTATTACTAGAACTTGACAGATATGAAATGCTGGAATTTACTGTACACGGAAGTGTTTGGTATAACAGTAAAATATGTCCAAACGCATAGCAAGATACCTGAATTTATGCGAAAATTGAACACTATATATTTCCACATTATAATTTTTATTGTACGTAAACAAGTCTAATGAACACCATAGTGCTAGACTGATTTTCATCAAAATAGTCAATGATTTTCTAGTCAACTCAATAAATTCCAGTCACAGTCTTAAACATCTTATCTTAAATAAATAATGATTTGTGGAAGATAGAAATATAGGCTTAAATAAAATCAAAAAGGTAGCAGCAAAATAACATAGTAGTATTTAACAAGTTCCATACATTTAGAATGCTTAGACGAGTAACTCATACAAAAATCTTCACTGACTGATCTTTCAATAAATTAAAGTATGTTGCAACAAAGCAAAATTTCCAAAATTTACCCTGATTAGATGGAACACTTTAAGTAGGAGGAAATCGTCAAAGGTCTAACATTAAACTTTGATAAATTAATCTTTTTTTCAGTTTGATTGATAAGTTTCAGTCTGTTTGCAATTCAGTTAACTGATTAACCTCGGGAGAAAAGAAATAAGAATATAGGAAGAAATACTGCCGACATCAAGAGCGAGCAGTTAAATATCTCAACGAGTATGAAGAAAATGTATGATAAGCGAACCGCGTGTTTTTAAGACCTATTCTTTGTATGTGTTAATGTAAAGGTATCTTACATATACTACTTAAACCAAAACCGTCTATAATTTGCTATTCGAGCTCACTCTACTCATAAAAATGTAACTCTATAAAAGAGAAGAAAAGCACACAAAAAACAAAAAATCATAAAATTTAAGTTACTATGGCATGCAATTAGATCGTGCTTGTAAGTTAAAGTACGAATGAAAGACATCAAACACAACACAAGAAGCAGATGAATCGTCAACCAACAACATTTTTTGTCTCTAACTGATTACGACTATTTTTTCATCATAAGGGTTCTACATTTCAAGGAAAATACTTATCTCCAGACACCATAAACCGTAACATAATCATGATTGAAAATGTACACTTTTCATTACCATAAAAATAAAGAAAATGCGAATCAATCCTATGATCTGAAAAATATAAACTTGAGGGCCCGATAAATTCTACATAGAAAGAATTAAATCAGTTAAATCAACAAAGAACGAAAACATTTCTATATGCTTCATAAATTCATTAACTTTTAATGACCCCAAGAACTATACTATCATATCGCACGATTTAAAATTTAAAAAATGGAAATAGATTCATCCTATTATGTGAAGTGAAAAATGTCTGAAACTAAATAAATTTGAGGATAACATTTTCAAAATGAAACAAGCTATTTGTGATGTGTATTTATAAAACGGACTCGTGTTTACTGATTTTCATTAAAAAACACCTTAACGGTATAAAAACATAACATAAAAAGCCAGAATTATAGACCAGTAAAATATCGGGTAAAACGTACCTCATTTGACATTATAGGCAAAAACAAATCTATTTAAAAACACGCGTCATGCAGAAAAGCGTCAAGGTCATTTAACTATCTAGTTAGTACGAATAACGTAAGTCACCTTCAATCTCCAATACACATATATTTTCATGAGCTAGTATAAACTTAATTATTTCTCTGCGCTCTTTTATTGTTCTTTCAGTATGGTTTCAGGTTATTAATGGATTTTAGTCTAACCACTCGATGGCACCATCTCTAGTCACTTGGTATTTATTTGTGAACTTGAATGACCTGTGATTTGGATGAGTACGTTTGTTTCACAGCAGTAGGGTCTTGGATGCCAGGAGCAATCGAATAAGAATAAGATTTCGGAACTTAGCAAATTAATGGAAAAACAAGTAAAATAACTGGTAGTAAAGATTGTGTGAGTACTAAAGTGTGAGCAAGGGAAGGGAAACAGAGACGTCTTCGCATAAAGTAAAGAGCTGCGTTATCATTGGCAGCATCTAGGTTTTCCGTTGTTATGAAACTGAGATCACGCTCTGAGGAGACATTAGGTAGCGGACAATCATTGAGAATGTAAGTTTTTTGCGTCACGTTGGGCAGAGTGTCAATAACGAGAAATTTCGACTGGTTAAGTTTGTACCCATTTTCCACTGCCCATTCCTCAGTTGATGTAAGGTCCTTTCGAAGCTCAGTTGAATCCTCTTCGCTTTAAATGAACCACCATATCTTTGCATAGTCTAGATAGATCAATGCCACTGAGCTAACATATCATTGATGAATATCAGGAAAAGTAGTGCACCTAAGATGTTCCCCTCTGAAACTTTCGGAGTTGTGACTAGCCAACTCGTCTACGAGACCTAATTTTCTTAAGGCAGTTTTTGATCCAAGATAAAATTTGGTCAGTGAAGCCTAATTTCGCAAACTTCGCAATAAGGAGTATGTAAGGCACTTGCGTTAGCCGGTATTTTTAGGTTCCAGCAGGTGAGAAGACTGGATAAACACACTCAGAATATTCGAAACCTGTGTTGAGTTTCGTGCTAAGTTTTATTCTTATCAATGTACTCCCTCATCTACTCATTCACCAGTTACTCATATCTCGTGTGTTTTATCTAATCGTCAAAGTGTCGTGCCTCGGAAGATCAATTCAGTTGGTACTATGATCTTCAGATCCATATGACAGCACTTATTTATTTCTTTTAAGGGCTTGCTTCTTAGTCCTCTTACTTAGATAACGTCACTTGGCGGTTTTTCTCACCTGGTACACCTGTGCTGCAACATCAGTTTCCGAATTTTTAAATCAGCCAGAAAGCTTATTTCACTCATTCCTTGACAAACCAACCATCGTTCAAATGTACCTTCGACCCTCCTTATACATGATTTATGGCTGAAATAAGTTTTATGTATTCATTATGAAAGGTGTTACGGACAAAAGCGTCGTCCAAACCTGAATATACGGGGCATTCGCCAGTAATTTGATGAAATCCCCAATCTGCATCACAAGAAAACCCTCAGCTTATAATCCTCAAGTTCTAAGGACAAGAGACAGGCCGGACAATACAAGGCACTAGAAATCGGGGCAGATGTAGCAAGAATTGACAACACGTGCGAACAATTAGGGAGGTAAGCCAATGATCAAGTCATTTGGAGAGTCCTAGACGGAGGACTAATTTCCATGAGGGGAAATAGGCGTAAGTATCAGAATGATCACTGGCCTGATGACTGATTTACAATCTTGATTTTCACTGTAAAAGGTCGCAACCCAGTTTTTTAAAGACTCTTCAACAAATAGGAGAGTGTAGTTGAGGTTTCCTGGTTAGTTCTTTTCGAAAGCTCTTTTAAACTGACTAAGGTTGTTAACCGCATGCAGATCCTACCCCTTTACTTGGATAAGGGACATGCAAGCGAAATGTCATCATTATACAACCATATACTGCTCAATATTCAGGTTAGTTATTGTTTAAGATAAAATTAACAGTCTCACTCATCCTATCACAAAATTAAACATTTGAAAACTTCCAAATAATTCAACAGAGGTTTATATAGAATTTATTCATGAATAACATTAAAAGCGTAATAAACTGAGTTCTTCTATATAAAATTAAACATCTACTTGGATAACAATATGTCTTGATTATCCTATATCCTTATCTCTCTAGATTGCTAAAGATCTAACCTAATAAAAGTAAAAGTAATTTTTACTGTGAAGATCAAAACACGACAGCCGACGTATTATTAAGGAGGTTTCAGTCAGGGAACCATATGTTGTTTATTTCTGTCAGATATTAAGGTCACAATTGACTCACTTATTACGAACACCGGACATGCCGTGCTACAATTTTAAGAGTATTACGGTGGTACCATCGTCCAAAGACTTCATTGACATTGTTTTATCAAAAACACAAAGGAAAACCCCGACGGTTATTCATCCGCAATATGCGATCGGACGTATTAGACATTTTTATATGCGAAAAGTTAAAACATGTCAGCAGTTTTACCATGATAAGCTTCAAACAATTCTCACAGAATTCCCTAAAGTTGAGGTAGCTGAGTAACTTTTTTTAGATAGGATTTAGAATATACATCCATTCTATGCAGATCTCATCAATGTCTTGTATTCCAAAGATCACTACAAACTTGCTCTAAGTCAGCTTAATACAGCTAAAAATCTGATTGATGGGTAATATCTTTAACTTCACTGAATCATTTATAGAATTGGCCGAGACCAGGTAAAGATATTGAAGTATGCGGAGTCTTTGTACCAGTGCAAAACACTCAAACGAGCTGCTCTTGGGAGGCAAGTTAAATAAATTACTGTTAATCGGTGGCTAGAATGTGTACGGTAATAAAAAGACAGGCAGATAACCTGAAATTTTTGGAAGATACACGACAGCATATGTCCAGATTACCGAGCATTGATCCAGATACTCGGACTATCATTCTTTGTGGTTTTCCAAATGTTGGAAAGTCAAGCTTCATAAACAAAGTGAGTTTACCGTTCTGCTATCTCTTGTTGCTAATACTGTCATAAAGCTACAAGCCGTGTGTCTGTTTATGTAGCAATAGTTTCAGTCTCATTTTTACTCTGGGTTTGTGGTCGGTATACTATATTCCCGTCTTAATTGTAGGCAAACTGAGATCTAGTCTTTCGGAATAAGGTTTAAAAAGCAGCTAAGGGGGAATCAGGAAACTGTTTGTTAATCTAGATCACAGAATATCCCTTAAATCTTGCAATATACGGGACGGTTCAGTGACTAGTTACAGCGAATAAGTAGATATTCAGGGGCGAGTCTCAGTGTAATTCGTTATCAAGTTTCCCTAAGATAACTGATCTATCTGAATAATCACACTTTTGTGTTTATTTACTTCACTGACATACAAATTAAGTGAAAATAGCTTGATCTTTAGTTATTACAAATGACTAAACTAGTGTGACGTCAGTCAGCATTTGTTCATAAATTCAAATGCTTTCCGAAACTATGGTTCAGACTTTTGCAACCTATTGTCTCTTATTTATAATTTACTCATGGAAAGTTTCATTTCGTGCGACCAAACTACTTACAGGTCCCATCTATTGGTATTTTAGTTATAGTGTACTTTCAAACCCTTAGTATGAGTAATTATTTCCCTTAGCGACTAGCCTTCATCTACGTTTATATGGCTTCCGATTCCACTTAAAAAGACTTGTAAACATTCGAGGTCTGTTGATACAAGTACGTAAAGTGGTTTCTGAATGAAAAGGATTTGAAATCAGAGATAGATTTTGAGTAATTTTTTACGTCGGTCAATCAGTTGTAACGTAGAATTCTGTACGTACGTACATCAGTTCAAGTTATCAGATTATGTCAATGTAGAGATTAAATCGTCATGCTAAATCACAGCCTTGTAGAAAGTTGTTGAACTAATCTTTTATACTTTTGAAAAATTTAAACATTCTTCCATATTTATGCATTTACTAAATAAATTCTACTATAATGCTGAGTCATACCTCCCATAAATAAAGTCCGCTATTCCGTTTATGTATATATACATAGAGTTATGATCACCATATATATATATCTTTATTTTATTATTCAGATAACTCGAGCTGATGTCGATGTTCAACCATTTCCATTTACAACTAAATCTTTATTTGTTGGACATACAGATTATAAAAATTTACGATGGCAAGTAATTGATACACCGGGTGTATTAAATAGACCTTTAGATGAACATAACACCATTGAAATGCTCTCGATTACAGCATTAGCACATTTACAAGCTGCTGTTGTGTATATTATGGATTTATCGGAACAATGTGGTTATACTATACAACAACAATTGAAATTATTTCAAAACTTGAGACCACTTTTTCGTAATAAACCTCTTGTAATAGCTGCTAATAAGGTAAGCTTAAAATGTCCAAATAATTGTTATGTTTTGTTATACTAATCCGTATGATAATATCACGAAAATTCATGTTTTGTCACTTTTCTCGTTTATTTTCACCGTTTCTGCATCATTTCTCTTAGTTATCTCTAAGACTGAGAAGCAAATTTTATTTACGTTGATGCGATGTATTTGAGATTGATGTTATAGTCATCTGTTATATTGTTTTTTCCTACTCATCCTCATCAAAGAGTGAGTAGTTCCCTGATATGTGCAACATGTCCAAACCACCTTATCTCAGTCAGTCAGATGCAACGTAGAACTTGGTACGTAAGTACATCAGTTCATGTTGCCATACCACATCAGCACCGAGATATAATTGTCAATTCAAATCCAATAGTAGAAGAGGTAGTAAAGGTATTAGAAGTTATTGGAGAGGTTAGGATTAGATGATATTATTCAAGAAGTATGATTCAGTGAGAAAAGTTTAGAGAGTCGAAACTAGAGGTGTTGAAGAATCCAGAATATTAGGATTTGAGAGAACACAAAGAATAAATGCACCGGCGCCATTGCAAACGATTTTGAGCCATGTCATTCAAGGTCTCCAACCATTGATGATTATCATCTCGCGGACTCCAACCAGGTAGTCGAAAATTACCAACATGGCTAATTCCACTCGTCAATGACTTCATGGATTTCTGCCATGTTTTGGTCTGGCCGCCCCTAACTTTCTTCCAACCTACTCCTACACTACAAAACACTGCTCGTCGAAGCAGTCGGTGGTTCGGCATATGCAGCACATGTCCCAAGCACCTCAATTGATGAAGTTCCACCACTTTATCTATTGATCTGCCATCCCTACCTAGTACTCGTTTCCTAACGATAGCATTGCTTACTCGGTTGTCCCAGGATACACGAACAATGCTTCGAAGACACCTATGATCGAAAACCAGTAACCTACGAATATCTTCTACTCTCACTGGCCATGTTTCACAGCCATATAGGAGAAAACCACCTTATCTAATAAAGATTTATAACCGTAAGAACTAATCTGTCACTCCAACTTATGAATATATATATATACCCTCAACAGCGGTACTTTTTACTTGGCATTCCTTCCATGTGTAATTAATACTTTCAAAAACTGACTGAATATTTACAGCTGTATGTGTGTCTATTTCACACCCTTTACCCTGATACATAACAAGTTGTTGTGCAGTTTATTTGCCCTTTAATGGCTAGAAAGAATTCGCTAACGACATATGGTTTATACCAGTTAACGGATTCGATTTGACATCACTGTTTTCGGTAAACATAACCATATTACTTGCGTAATCCAAGCTGATTCAAATAATATCAGTGATACTAGAGAATTGTGACAATCCTAATGGGTATTGCCCCAGTTAAATAACAACAAGAGTTTTCAATTTTGTTAACTAGTTCATTGTGTTTTGCTTCGACGATCAGTTCTGTACTCACATTTGGTACAGTAACTTTTGCCCCGAAGCTATATTGAATTGATTAGATATTTGTTCCTAATCAAAACAATAATTTTCTTATCGAATCTTCTGTTATGTGTCGAATGTAAACACCTCTCCTACTTCTAATATTCTTTGCTATTGTATTTTTTCCATCTGACAATATTCATGATCAATAATTTAACTGGTTTTTTGTTGCCCATGTAAGGGCGCCGCAGTTCTTTCATTTGAAAAGACATCTTCATCCTTGTGTTAGTGCCTCGGTACTACCTCACTCTCGTTTCTCTGCTTTGCTGTTGTAAAATTCAATAAGCCAATCCCCGTAGATTTGATTTTTATGTGCTTTCACTCACAAAACGGGCTTGTCGAGATGCCTTGATGAATACTAAACACATACTGCGCAGCTTTCCACTGCAGTCAGTCAGTTGCAACGTAGAACTTCGTACGTATGTACATAAGTTCATGTTGACATATCACATTAGCACAGAGACGTCAAATCAAATCCCATAGTGATAAAGATAGTAGAGGTAGGTATTAATACTAATGAAGAAGACTAGGGTTCGAAGATATTATTCAAGAAGTATAACTAAGTGAAATAAGGTTACAAAGACAATGGTAGAGGTGCTGATGAATCCAGAAGATTAGGATTTGAGAGAACACAATGAATGGATGCACTTGCGCCATTGCAAACGATTTTGAGCCATGTCGTTCAAGGTCTCTAACCATTGGTGACTTTCGTCTCGCGGATTCCAAACAGGTAGTCTACATCTACCAACATGACTCAGTCCACTTGTCACTCAATTCATGGATTTGTGCCATGTTTTGGTCTGGCCGCCCCTAGTTTTCTTCCAACCTACTCCTACACCACAAAACATAGCTCGTCGAGGCAGTCGGTGGTTAGGCATTCGTAGCACATGTCCCAACCAGCTCAACTGATGAAGTTTCACTACTTCATCTACTGATCTGCCATCCTTACCTAGAACTCGTTTCCTAACGACAGCATTGCTTACTCGGTTGTCCCACGGTATACGAGCAATGCTTCTTAAACATCTATGATCGAATTCTAGTAACCTACTAACATCTACTCTTAACGGCCATGATTCGCATCCATATAGAAGAAAGGAGCGAACTGCTACGCAGTACACCCGTCCTTTGGTCAGCGAACGGATATCACGCCTACGCCTTAAGTGACGCAGGCAAGTTATCCGTTCCACTGCCTACACTATTGACAGTCATAATCTCACTAGTGACCAACTTCAAAGGTAAATTCTTGGAATTTTGTTAAGAAGCGGTAACTCGAAGGAAATTTCAATTTTATGAGGCGTGAAATAAGTATGTCACAGAATAAATATGACATTTTACTGCATAGAAACTAATAACTATACTGTAGTAAAATGTATACTCAAGGTGGATTTCTTTGACATCGTATCTTCATTTCAATACGTTACTCAAGAACTCGATCATCACTGTAACTATATGACATACTGTCTGTTAAATAAAGATAATTTTGTATTGTAGTGATGTTTCGTTCTCTAAGCTCGGGATGTTTTGTTTGTGAAGCTCTCATTGTTCTTCTTCTGAACAACATCATCAGCATAAACTTCAGATAAAAACGTCCTACAATCAAAAACATCCCCACCTGACATAATGAAATCATCCACCTAAGCTACAAATTATCCTCATCACCTCAAAATAGTTTTATATTTTAAATAGGCCTCATTAGCACACATTTCTATCTTATTTTCAAATGGTTTATTGACATTTTTCCAACAACAAAAAAATGCACAACTGATTAATTCATTTCAATTCATTCACTCACTCACTAAATTCGAACGATTCAAAAACAAGTCAAGTCAGATGCAACGTAGAACTTTGTACGTAAGTACATCTGTTCATGTTGCCATACCACATATTAGCACAGAGATGTAGTTGTCAATTCAAAGCCTATAATAGTAGTAGACGTGGTAAAGGTATTAGAAGTAATCGAAGAGGTTAGGATTAGAAGATATTAATTCAAGAAGTATGATTTGGTGAGATAAGTTTAGAAAGACAAAGGTAGAAGTGTTAAAGAATCCAGAAGATTAGGATTTGAGAGAACACAGAGAATAAATGCACCGGCGCCATCGCAAACGGTTTTGAACCATGTCATTCAGAGTCTCTAACCATCGATTATTATCATCTCGCGGACCCCAACCAGGTAGTCGACAATTACCGACATGGCTGTCCACTCGTCAATGACTTCATGGATTTGTGCCATGTTTTGGTGTGGCCACCCCTAACTTTCTTCCAACCTATTCCTAGACTACAAAACAAAGCTCGTCGAGGCAGTCGGTGGTTGGGCATACGCAACACACATGTCCCAACCACCTCAACTGATAAAGTTTCTTTCACCACTTCATCTATTGATCTGCCATTGATTCAAAAACCAAAAAATACAATTTCTACCTATTTTCAGATTGATATTAAACCATTCGAAGCATTGACCGAAGAAGATAAACAATCAATTAATCATTTAGTTCAATGGCATAATGATGACACTGAACAACTCAACGACCCAGATCGACCAGTGTTTGTAGAAATGTCCACTGTAACAGAAATTGGCTTAGTGACTGTTCGTTCAATTGCATGTGATCGTTTATTGGCTCAACGTGTACAAGCAAAAATTCGTGCTGCAAATCTACCAGGCAGTAAAGCGGATATCTCAAGTCGATTATATATAGCTAAACCGAAATCCGATGAAAATGAGGTAGGTAATGTTGTTTGTTATTTGTGTGTGTGTCGAGTTTGTTTTTTTTTAGCTGGGATTATATGTTACTTTTTTCTGTAAACTTTTGCATGCTTTCACGTGTTAATATCTGTTAATTCAGTGAACTGCAATGTAGAACTTCGTACGTACGTATATCACAGTTGCCATACTACTTACTACACTAGCACAGAGACATCAATTTGTCAGTTCAAATCCTATAGTGGTAGAAGTAGTAGAAGTGTAGTGAAGGAGAACACATGTGAAGACGACCGAATTGTATTTAACGAAAATTACAGAGTTACTCAGTAAAATAGGAAAACCATATCGTAAATCGTTCATTTGCAAATCTTCAATCCATTGTCTGACATTTCACTTATTCATGCGTTTCATACAAATTCCATTGTGTTCCCAATCTTCCTTTCTTGATCTTCTCCCATCTTCTGCTGCCAGACATTACGTTGACACTCGTGTCATATACTACTTATAAGTGGCGTGCACCACAGTAGGATGAGCAGTAATCAAAATGATTAGGAATCGAAGATATTATTCAAATCGAATCTAGTGAAATAAACTTAAAAATACAAGGTTAAAGGTGATGAGGAATTCAGCAGAAGGTTAGGATTTAAGAGCACATAAAGAATGGATGCACCTGCGCCATTGCAAATGGTTTTGAGCCGTCATTCAAAGTCTGACCATTGGTGACTTACGTCTCGCGGACCCCAACCAGGTAGTCAACACTTGCCAACATGACTTAACCTACTTGTGAGTGACTTCATGGATTTGTGCCGTGTTTTTTTCTGGTTGCCCCTAGTTTTCTTCTAACCTACCCTTACACCAGGCATCATCGCTCTTCGAGGCAGTCGGTGGTTGGGCATACGTATCACATATCCCAATACTTCTTACTTAATAATTCACGAATGTCCTTGTTTACTAATCTACTTGCAAAAAGTACAATAATTTGTACAGTTTACTATATTTAGACCTTAACTAATCCAGTATTGTCACAGAATTTGAAGTCGTTAAGTTTTACGATCTTTTAGACTTTGACAAGTCATTATGCGGTGACTTATCCTAATCTAACGCTAATTGTTTCAATGGTACGGAGTCGCATGCTTGACCTCCTATCCTCCTTTTTTACCGAATCCCCGCATCAGGAAATATTGAGTACTGATAAAGAATAATACGGAATAAAATATTAGTGGATACATTACTTTGTCATAGGTTTTCAATCAAACTACTTATTATCTGAGTGTTAATTTTGTACGTTTGCTTAGTCATCAGTGATTCTGACTTCCAAGGCTCGATTGGTTTTTGCCAACCTGCGTCACTTATAGCGCAGGCGAGATATCCGCTTGTTAACCAAAGGACGAGTGTACTGCGCAGCAGTTCGCTCTGTCTTACTATACGGATGCGAAACATGGCCGTTAAGAGTAGAGGACATTCGTAGGTAACTAGTCTTCGATCATAGGTTGGAAGAAAGTTAGGGGCGGCCAAACCAAAACATGGCAGAAATCCATGAAGTCACTGACAAGTGGACTGAGTCATGTTGGTAGATGTAGGCTATCTGGTTGGGGTCCGCGAAACGAAAGTCACCAATGGTTAGAGATCTTGAACGACATGGCTCAGAATCGTTTGCGATGGCGCAGGTGCATCCACTCTTTGTGTTCTCTCGAATTCCAAACTTCTGAATTCCTTATCATCTCTAACTTTCTCCTTCTAGATTTATGTTACCGAATCATACTTCTCGAATCATATCTTCGCTCCCTAATCTTCTCCATTACTGCTAATACTTCTACTATCGCTACCACTATCGGATTTGAACTGACAGTTGCGTCTCTGTGCTGACGTGGTATGCCAACCTGAACTGATGTACTTATGTACGAAGTTCTGCGTTGTATCTGTCTGTCTGATTCTAACTTTCATAAGCTCAAACTTCACTTCACTTCGGTCTAACCAACAGGGCAATATCACTAGTTTTGTTGTAAGTCATGTTCAGCTTGTTTTCAAATATGCTGTGAATGTAGGTATGTTTCACACTATTCCCAGGTTAACTAACTAACCTAGTTTCTATCAGCTAATGACCTGTTTTTCTCTACACTTCTTATTCAGTTCTCTTTCAATTTTTTTAAATTGAATATATAGACTGCAGTACCATTTCGTCCACCGAAAATTCCCGACGGTATTTTGGAAAAACAAAGGAAACGTATGTTAAAACGTTTGCGTATTGCTGATTCACTACCAACCAACAAACACATTCAAGTTGACGATGATGATGAAGACGATGATCCATCGAAACGTTGTCGTACAATGCGTGATCGTGAATTAGAAGCTGATCCTGATGAAGGTTTCATATTAAATCTAAGAGAGCATTGGTCTATTAAACATCCTGAAGAGGCGAATGATATCATCCCGGAAATTTTCAATGGACATAATTTGATTGATCTATTCGATCCGGAAATCGAAGAGAAGCTGAATGCTTTGGAAGAACAAGAAGCAGCTCTTGAAAATGCTGGATTTTATGATGAATCTGAATTGTTAAAGCAGGAGAATGATCCAGAAATGAAAAAAATCAAAGTAACCGCAGCGAAGTAAGCAGCTTTTTACATAGTACTTACTCTATTCTGTTGCTTCACTTAATGCTGGGACTTGGAAGAGATGAAGCTTGATCTTTTTGCGGCACTCAGTGGTCAGTATTTTAATGCTAAAAATAATCATTAGAAGACAGACAGACAGATACAACACAGAACTTCGTATTTACGTACATTAGTTCGAATCCCATAGTGGTAGCGATAGTAGAAGTATTATCAGCAATGGAGAAGATTCAGTGAGATAACTTTAGAAGGAGAAAGATAGAGGCGATGAAGAATTCAGAAGGTTAGAATTCGAGAGAACACAGAGAGTAGATGCATCTACGCTATCGCAAACGATTTTTAGCCATGTCGTTTAAGGTCTCTAAACATTGGTGACTTACGTCGTGCGGTTTCTCAATGACTCCATGGATTTCTGCGATGTTTTGGTTCGGCCGCCCCTAGCTTTATTCCAACCTACTCTCACACCACAAAACATAGCTTGTCACAGCAGTCGGTGGTTGGGTATATGTAACACAAGTCCCAACCACTTCAACTGGTGAAGTTTCAACACTTCATATATTGATTTGCCATCTCCACCTAGTACTCGTTTCCTAACGACAGCATTGCTTACTCGGTTGTCCCATAATACACGAGCAATGCTTCGGAGACATCGATGATCGATAACCAGAAACCTACGAATATCTTCTACTCTCACCGGCCATGTTTCGCATCCATATAGGAAAACGGAGCAAACTGCTGCACAATACACTCGTCGTTTGGTTAGCAAATGGATATCTCACCTACGCCATACATGACGAAGGTTGGCAAAAGCCAATCGAGCTTTCTGTATCCGTGCTGAGATTTAATCATGATAAAATGTGAAAGCTACGAAACATAACAGCATAAAATTCAAAAGTATACCACTTGGAAGTGAGAATAATTCAAATTATTTGTCATGCTTTCTGTCCGCACGCTATCATGTTAGTGTGATAAGTTTGATATGTCTGCTTTAATTAGTATAGTAAACTTCTTGTCTTAGAGGAGTTGATTTTTATTCGTTTACGCTTTTTATCCCTCTTGGAGCAATAGACCACTGACTAGAATTCTACTTCCAACCTTGTTGTTCTATTTAGTGAAGACATTGACAAAATCCAGAGTTTTCTGATCATCCTAAGCAACAATGCAAGCATGTTCGGAATGCGGTTCTCCCCTTCGAAAAATACAAAATGTTGTTTCAGGATTGGCTTGCGTCGGCACCTGAATTATTGAGAGGGGGTGAAATAATTGAGCATGGTGACCGCTTCACTTACCTTGGAAGTCTGTTGGCCTGGTGTCTAACAAAATCTGAGCACAGATACAGAAGGTGTAGACTACCTGTTTGTGATCCGCGATATGATAGTAACAGATGATTAGAGACCTTGATTGACATAACTGGAAATCGTTTACAATGTCGCAGGTGCATCCATTCTTTGTGTTCTTTCAAATGCTAATCACATTTACCTTTCTCTTTTAAATTCACTTCTCTAATCATATCTTCGAACCCTAATCTTTGTCCATTACCGGTAATACTTCTACTATGTCTACCACTATGGGATTTTAATCGACGATGGCATCTCTGCGCTATCGTGCGTGGTATGAGTATGTACGTACGAAGTTCTACGTTGTAACTGACTGACTCCAGCCCTGTTACCTTCTAAGTAACCATTAATTTTTACAAAATAGATCTTTGAGGATAGATTTTTTATAAAAGCTTTGTTGTATTATATATCAAGTTTAAAAATACATGTAATTATCTCTCTCTCATTCTACCATAGAATAAGAGAAGCACGAGCATTGCGTGTTTTGGAATCAAGAGCTCGTAAACAAGTACGTAGACCACAAGTACCTCGTAGTGCTCGTTCAGTCAGTGTGCATAAAATTCATCAAGATCTTGGTGAACTTGGCTTAGAAGTGGATATGCATGAACAGGTAAGTAACCTTTTTCATTACCTCTATCTCTCAATGAACATTTTTAAAGGTCAAGTTGAGTGAATTTATTGTAGGGATTGAAATTACATAGTTTTTTCATATATTTGCCCTACAATCAGGTTGGATCTATCTTGTTAGCGATTTTTGGCAAGTTAGCATAGATACAGAAAGTTCGATTGGCTTTTGCCAACCTGCGTCACTTATGGTGTAGGCGAGATATCTGTTTGCTGAATAAAGGACGAGTGCACTGCGCAGTAGTTCGCTCTGTCCTACTTTATGGTTGTGAAACATGGCTAATGAGAGTAAAAGATATTCGTGGGTTACTGATTTCGATCATCGGTTTCTTCGGAGCATTGTTCGTGTATCACGGGACAACCGAGTAAGCAACGCCGTTGTTAGGAAGCGGGTGCTAGGTAAGGATGGCAGATTGATAGATGAAGTGGTGAAACTTCATCAATTGAGGTGGTTGGGACATGTGTTGCGTATGGCTAACCACCGACTGCCCCGACGAGCTGTGTTTCGTGGTGTAGGAGTAGGTTGGAAGAAAGCTAGGGGCGGCCAGACCAAAACATGGCAGAAATGCATGAAGTCACTGACAAGTGGACTGAGTCATGTTGGTAGATGTAGATTACCTGATTGGGGTCCGCGAGACGAAAGTCACCAATGGTTAAAGACCTTGAACAACATGGCTCAGAATCGTTTGGAATGGCGTACTCTTTGAATAACATTTAACCCTGATATGGCAACTTGAACTGATGTACGTACGTACGAAGTTCTTCGTTGCTATCTATCTATCTATCGCTTAATTTAAACATTTTCTTTCACATTTCATAAATTTGGTCAATAAATTAATTTTTGGTTATAAATTACCTCTTGATGATTTTTTTTTATTTTAGGGTGAACGTGGTCGATCACTCAAACGAGCTGTTAGATCAAGAAATTCCACACCAAACCCACACCGGGAAGCTTCCATTGCACGTGCATCTGTATCACGATCTAGATCTGGTTTACGTGATGACAAAATGTTGGATACTGTAAAACGCATGTCTAAAATTGCTCAACGTAAAGTAGTCACATTAGCACGTAAAGGTGAAGGAGATCGTCATATTCCAACATTGAAACCGAAACATTTATTTTCAGGCAAACGAGGCACTGGAAAAACCGATCGTCGTTAATTTGTTTCTTTTGTATGAGTGTGTGTGTGTGTGTGTGTATGAGTGAGTGAGATTGAAAAAAAACACAAACTGATTTTACTTTGAGAACAATTTGTATTCACAACTTGTTGAAAAAATATAAACAAATATAATATCATGGTTTTTTGAATACAAAAATGTAAGTGTCCATTTATTATATCTACACCAAAACGGGCAACAATAAAAAACGTGTAAATTATTCATTAACAGTTTGTAAATATTGTCTCATCTAACAGCTTTTTATATTGATTAACAATTCCACTTCGTGCTGCATTCCAAACATTAATTTCTCCTGTTACTTCACTATGTACTAATGAAAGACCACGTATTGGTTCACAATTTACACCTGTAAGTTCTAAACTAGTTGATAAGATTTGTGCATTGCCGCTGACGTCATTCACATGTCCTGTGGCTGCTGGATCATATGCATAGACAATAGTTCGGCCATCATTTCGACTAACAATAAGCAGTAGGTATTGACAATTCGGTCGTCTACATACGCGTATATGTTGAACAGTACTTTGTTCAGCTGTAGTTTTTTTTTTTAAACAATCAGAAACATGAAATATTCCATAGTAAACTGACAACAATTTATTAAAAACTTTGACATTAAAAAGTTGATGTCAACAACTTACATGTTAATTGCCATAATGGTTGTTTTGTTTGACGTATATCCCATGAAGCAAGTTCTCCTTGTTGACCACCACCGGCAAATAGTCCATAATCCATAAAGCTTGATACACAACTTCTAGGTACATCAATAAATTGAATCTCTTTGGAAAATTGTGTCGATGGTATATCTTCAGGGAAAGCACATGCTTCCACAGATCCATTACCGCCTGGTAATGTACATTGAATAACACAACCTTTTTGACGTGCAGCCAGCTCATATAAACGAACTGTGGCATTAGTACCAGTTCCAACAGCAACTAAAGCATCTGATGTAGCAACTTCTTGCGCTGGTGTTGATGTCTCTTGAACTGTTAAAAAGAATTTAAATCAACAATTTGGTTGGGATGTAGTGTCAGCAGTTAAACAAAACAGCTGGATATTGATAATCTCATGTTCGAACTTAACGTTGAAGATCAAATTGAATTTCTCTCTCTCTCTCGATGTATATATATGTATACAACCGTCTGTAACCCACTTTAGTTTAATAGGTAAATATTATATAATGTTTAATGGTAATCCCGATCGTAGCTGCTATCTTGACGTGGTGGTCGGGCTTGTCTATCGTGATGAACCAACCAAACTGTATTGGCTGGTTCTAGCATCTCAGGCAGGTCGAATGGAGAACACAGACTAAAGGCAGCAACTCAAGGTCTGAGTGCGAAGTTATACTGCTGACTGTAGAGGGGTTGGACAGCAGTAAGTTGTTTCTCTCGGACAACCAGCATTTGAAGCGATGCTGACTCCTCGCAAGGAATGGAGGGATTATCAAAGGTCTACTCTAAAAATGTCACACCTTTAGTCTGTCAGATGCAACGTAGAACTTCATACGTAAGTACATCAGTTCATGTCGCCATACCACATTAGCACAGAGATGTAATTTTCAATTCGAATCCAATAGTAGAACAGGTAGTGAAGGTATTAGGAGAGAGGTTAGGATTAGAAGATACTATTCAAGAAGTATGATTCAGTGAGAAAAGTTTAGAGAGTCGAAACTAGAGTTGTTGAAGAACCCAGAAGGTTAGGATTTGAGAGAACACAAAGAATAAATGCACTGGCGCCATTGCAAACGATTTTGAGCCATGTCATTCAAGGTCTCTAACCATCGATTATTATCATCTCGCGGACCCCAACCAGGTAGTCGACAATTACCGACATGGCTAAGTCCACTCGTCACACCTTACCCCACGGATTTGCATCTCCAGCTGTTGGGACTTTGAAATAGAAGAACCAACACGTTAAAATTTTCCTATAAAAAGATCGTGTGTGACCGGTCTCAAGCAGTTGTCCCTTGGGCTCTGCGGTCACACCCCTAACTTCCCTTTCAGGTCGTTCAAGAAGCACCCTTCCACGGTGGGGGCAACCGGGCAATGACATCCGCACGCATACCCCTAACAACTGACTGACTTCATTGTGGCACATACTTTACCGTTGTAATAATGTCAATAAATATTTTAATATTAAAATATAACTAAAATAAATAATTTACCATGATACCAAGAATCTGTATTATTGATAAAATCCATTGTTTGAATTGGTAAATTAGAATGTTTTCGAATAGTTAAACAAGTGATTTCTTCTAAAACCATTGAAGAAGAATTAATGGTAGTAGTATACGGTTCAAGTGCTTTTGGAGTTACTGGAATTGCTGATATACAAGTCTACAAAAAAAGAAATGAAATTTTAGTAAGATTTAAAGTAAATTTTTTTTATTCGATGTGACGGCAGTAAGGTGTTTCCCTCGGACAACCAGCATCTGCAGCGATGCTGCCTTCTCACAAGGAAGGAAGGGGTTAGAAAAGGTCGACTCTAAAAATGCTATAGCTCACCTCACTGATTTCTGTCTCCGTCGGTACGGATGCCCACTAAGGGCTTTCAAGAGAGGAGCTAATACTCAAAAAACCCTTAAAAAGGCCGTGCGTGACCGGCCTCAAGCAGTTGTCCCTTGGGCTCTGCAGTCACGCTCCCTGGTCTCTAAGACCAACACTAATCTATCTTCCTTTTCAGACCCCTCAAGAAACAACCTTCCACGGTGTAGGCAGCCGGGAAGTGACAACCGCCCTCATACCCATAACAGTACACGAAACCAAATTGGTCGAAATCAAATCAATGCGAATAATAAATAAAATCCTATTTGACAGTTTTTATGATAATTTTCTATTTGAGAAATATGCTTCTCCTCTAGTTTAGGGGACATAAAAAAGTATTTGTCATTAGACTTTTTACAAAATTAGTGGCTTAAAATCCATGTATTTGTAATCATTCAAATTTAATTCACTTACTTGTGTCGATACATCCCATAGCCTTAACCAACCTAATCGATCTATAGAAGTAATATTACGACCACGATCTATGATAGCAGTGTCCAAAATAGCAGCTTTATGACCTCCTGGTTCTGTTGATCCATCAGTAGATTTTGGACCGAGAGTAGCTGCACACCGACCAGTAATTAGACACCAAATTTTCAACTGCATATCACTACCTGCTGTAAGTGCAACTACACCAGATGGAAAAAATTTGCAATTATATACATCTCCAACATGACCTTCAAGAGAACGCTGTAGAAAATGGAACAGAGATCAATAGAAATGAGGATATCGTTTGGGAATTCAAGAAAAATGTTAAGCAGAATATTAACGAAAACAACTACGCATAAATCCTTGTACTTAGACTAATTGCTAAATTTTATATAAACCAATGAAAAAAAAGAATTGGAAGGAACAAGAAATTAGCGTATGAGTGTTACTAATTCAGTGGAACAAATGAAATCCACGAGTAAAAAGTATAGAATAATTTCTTTTTATAGATTACAGAAAGATGACGAATAAATATACCTGGGTCATCATCATCAGTTTTAATGTATTCCCCAAGGTTTTCACATACATAGCATGTATCTAGACTATCTATGAAAAAATCAAGTCAATGCAAACTTGGAAGCCAAGTGACACTAGTACTAACATGAACATCCTAAACCCACCGTCAATATATTTTAAGCGTTGACGCGCCAGACTAAAGGTTTTATGTCCTGTTACCGTTTGCGAGGTTGCGGATACGCGCTGTTGACGAGTTCCGAATTAGAACGAGAAGGCTATCTAGTGCCTTCAGGTTTCTAGTGGTGGTCTGATATTGATCGATTCATTATTCTAATAAGCCGATTTTATAAGATGTAACAAAGAATATATTTCTTATATATATGTATAAAGGTACGTGTCTTGACACAAAATATTGAGAAGTGAACTACACGAGATAAAATAGCGTTTTTCCTAAGAAACGAAAACGTGAAAAACACACTGGCAAGTAAAAACGATTAAAAAGTAAGTTTTCAAATTTGATTTCTGTCAAAAAAAAACAAGTTAATGTCACGTACAGAATAAACATTTCACACTTGATTTTCAGCTCTGTTTAAAAACCTCTCATCGATAAATTCGTGTGATTTTAATGACCCCATGAAAATAAATGTGACCAGCTAGCAGGAAAACTAACTCGACTACCCCTCACTTTTTATCAAACATCGCGACGTACTCAATGCTGAGTAATTTGTAGGCAGAATATCTGTTCTATTTTAAAGATATTAATGAACCTCCCAAATACATTTTCAAAACACAATTTAGCTGAGTGATTCGGAGAGTCTTGACATCAATTAGCTTTGATAGCATACAATAGGTATGGCAGTGTCTGAAGGTGAGGATTTTGTTAAAATAACTTAAATATAACTGAAACCAAACCAAATGAACATGAATTAAATTCCCAAACATTTTATGAAAACCGCGTAAAACAGTGGCTACTCCTGAGTGTAATTGATAGAAGATATACCATTTAGTAATATTCAAAAACATTATGTGACCTAGTTTTGACAGAACATGCAACAATGAAATAGATCCAATAATGGAAAGAATTTCAGTTTTTCTATCCTTTTATTTTACATGCAAATTTTAACTTCAAAACTTGAGTGCCATTGCAAACGACATGGCTCAAAATCGTTCACAACGGCGACGGCGCATTTATTCTCTGTGTTCTCTCAAATCCTAATCTTCTGGATTCTTCAACACCTCCAGTTTTGACTTTCTAAACTTTTCTCACTGAATCATACTTATTGAATAATGTCTTCTCATTCTAACCTCTCCAATTACTTCTAATAACCTTACTACCTCTTCTACTATTGGATTTGAATTGACAATTACATCTCTGTGCCAATGTGTTGGTATGGCAACATGAACTGATGTACTTACGTACGAAGTTCTACGTTGCAACTGACTGACTGACTGAATGAGTGCTTTATTGTACTTTGAAGGTTGGACTAACTCAAAAGAGTTAGTATTTACGGGTCAGGAGGCAAAAAATATATTAACCTAATTACAACGTTTTAACTAGTACTCTGTCTGAGGCTATATTTCATATCTTATCGTCATTATTGAAGACCAAGCCATCGAGTAGTGCTACTGTAAACAGTATAAGAATTGGTATTCAGCAGTAGTACAGCTTTTCAAAAATAAATATGCATAAAAAACAATATTATAAATAATTACACACCCGAATAGTTCCCGTTTGAGTTTCATACAAGTTTACAGATGATCCAGTGAAAGAAGCAATAAAATGTTCACCGCTTGGACTAACATCGAAAGAAGATAAATGAGGACGAGACTAAAAATACTTCGGTGCGAAATTGAGACTTACATCTGTAGGATTATTACTTAAAATATCAAACGAGGTATCTGGACATTGAAAGAATTTATTGATGTCTGGATTTCTTGATGATAGCCGTAGAAGTTTCTAAAAAAACGTTTATTTCACAACTTAAAACTACAGGTGAAATCAAATTGCACGAGAAGTGCTCGTCATCAGGTACCAAAGAAAACCCTCTGTTCTCTAGTTTGTGATACTTGGTAGAACCTTACAAATTAGCAACTTATTAGACTCACCAGTGTCATACTGATGAAACCATATGTATTTCGAATTTTCACTATCTGTTTTAAAAGGAAGAATGTATATTTACTTTAATGCCTTATCCCAATCTGGCTGAATCCTAAAACCCATTAATAACACATACACCGCAACGCCACTGTTCAAAGCATGCTCGTCAAGGTCATCCAATATATCCAATATCCTATTCACGAGTTAGTATAAGCCCGTCGATTTCTTTGCGCTAGATTGTTGTTCTGTCGGTACGGTTACAGGTACTCGGTAGTTTCTAATGAACAGTAGTCTAGTCACTCAACTGTACTAATTCTAGTCAGCTGACAGTTATGGATGAATTAGAATGTCCCATGATCTCAGTTGGTGCGTTTGTCTCACGGCACTAGGGTTTTTGGGTACCAGCAGCTATCATGTTACCAGGCCGAAGATCAGTTACTCGCAATGAGGAGAATAATGATAAAACTCGAATGCCAGTAAGATTTGAGAACTAATTAATTAAACTGATAAACAAGTTAATTAATTGGGAGTGGAGATAGTGAGAGAGGACCGCAGTGTGAGCGAGTGAAAGGAAACAGAGGTAATAAGCGAGAAATACTCAGTAAGTAACCCGAGTAAATAAAATAGTAACAACTAACACGTCTCAAGACATGCATGAGTCACAGCTTGTCCAAGAGAAAAATGATAATCAGTTATCTACTTGAATCCATCCATTGAAGGGGTTGTGGTCACCTCGGCTGGTAAAGCATTAAAAATTGTAAAATCCTTCAATAATAAAGGGTATACGCGAAACTGGGTTTTCGTTTTCATTTCGAGCGGCGTGGTGATGATTCGATAAGTTGCACATGGTGGGATGATTTGGCTTGCTTAATATGTTGTATGCCATTATCAGATCACCTCTGATTCTCCTGTAACCAAAGGGGTATTCTTAAGTTTTGGAGTCTGTCTTCATAAGGCCTATTCTTAAACTCTATCACTCATTTCAATACTCTTCTCTGCACTCGACCCAGCAGACTCACATATCTTTTAAGGAGAGGGGTTGAGAAGACGTTTTGAACTTCAAAATGTGGCCGTATGTTTTAAACAGAGTTAAGAACGATTTTGAAGTAAATGGACCAAGTGTCTCCGAATTAAACAAAGAATTACGTTAGCCTTGACATCATCCTCCATAAAGTTTGAAGTGATATTCAGGCACTCTGGTTACTAGAAAGAGTTGACACTCAGAAGAGGTATTAGGAAAAGGAATTCCATTGAGGACGTAAGTTGTTTGTATCGCAAGTGGTAGAATATTTATGACTTGACATTTCGGCTGGCTAAGTCTTGAAGCGTTTTCCCCTGCCCATAACTCAATCTATTTAAGGTCGTTGTATTATCTTTACTTCTCATTGTCCACCAAATCTTTTCATGATCTACATAGATCAATATCGTTGAGCTAATTAATGAACATTCTGAAGAGGATCGGACCTAAGAGGGTCCTCTGTGAAAGTCCCGATGTTGAGATCCGCCGGCTCACATGAATTCAGTTAACCTTGGTAGGAAATTTTAAGTTCTCAAGGTAGTTTCTGAGTCGAAAGAGGTGTATCAGTCAGGAATACCCGAGTCATTATGTCGGAAGCTTTTGTGAAGTCAAGGATAATGATATGAACTGGTCTCATCAGGCCGTCTAGCTGTCCCATGCTATGAGAATGTGTCGATGCACATGACCCGTCTATCAGTTTCATGGAGTGTGTTGTTCTTATCCATCTACTAACACATTTGCTCATTCACTGGTCCTTTCATTACCTTCGACAGTATTGATAGAAATGTTGATGGTCTGTAACAGGTTGTACGGTTCCTTATGATATAGCAGGATTTAACTAACCAACAATATTGATGTTACCTTGCACTCCTCTCACGTCCTAGTAAGAGATCCTATTACAAGCTGAACCGGGCAATTATGTTGATAAAGAACTCACTCGTGACCTCTTAAGCAACGTTGATGAAAGAACAATCAATCTAATATCACCAAACCATCAAATTACAGTGCCTTCTTGATAGTATTACGTAAATCCAAAAATTTTCTGACAGTTTAATTCTTTGGAATCTCTTCTACTCATGCAATCACTTGCTTATTCCTTATCTTACCGGTGACTTGTCTTCACTTACCTTTAATACAGAAAAAGAAGGTTCCAGTATTTCATTCCTTTGTTTTAACCAGAAAGGTATCTGTTGAGTAATGACTCAGTTTTAAACAAGAATATTTTCCGTTCTAATCCTCGTCCCTTTCTATTCATTTCCCTACTTCATAACCTCATGCTACACCTTAAACAGTAGCATTCTTTGTGCTGAAGACTTGTCTGCTTTACCCAGAAGCTGCCAAATTTTTATCTGGTGAATATCAACAAGAGCTGGACACAGTTACCTCATTACTTCATGTTATTTACAGACCTGAATTTAACTAACCTTGACTTTCAACTAGCGGTGGTTCGTGGCAAACGCGTGTGAAGGAAGCATTGTTTGGCTGGAGTGATACCCGTTTCGAGAATAATGCGGGGTTTGTCTTTCCGTTCTTTATTGAAAGCTTCCCGATCTTCAAGTTACCTCACTTTTGTCTATTACTTCTAAAGGAGCGTAAGCGACGCACCCTGAAGATTGCAGGTTAGGGCTTGCCTGTTGACGTAGTTAGATGACTTCTTCTATGTTTGTCCTTCCACTTCCAGAGCTTCTTCTTGATTTCTTCCTCCACTAGAACCTGGCTCATTATATCCCCCAACAGGTTGTAGGTGATAGTGTCTGACAAACAGATCCTCAGTATATTGTGTAGACAAGTGTTGAATTATGACTTCTATTAAGTGTTCTAGTATTGATAGTGTGAGTACAGGTGTCCATGCTATTAATTCGCATGTTATGCATTGCTCTTCAGAAAACTGAATAGGAAACTGCTCAAAATGTAAGCCTTACTGTTAAGAAACATGTCTGTTAGATCATGATAATTAACCCATTACCATCACCAAAAAGAATGCTTTTTTACCCAGATGTGAATTAAAAGCAATAATAAGTTAGATTTTTCAGAAAAGTGTTTAATTTGTCAAAACTGGTCTAATTTCACTACAGAAACAACAAGAAGCGAGCGCGAAGAAATCAATTGACTTGTATTTAACGAATTCGAAACCTTATTCTAACAACTTCTGGTTTCAGTTCTTTATTTCGAGTTATTCTTTATTAATTTCTCAATTAAATGCAAATGCACTTCGTGTGCTTACTGAGTCGTCGGCTCACATTTTCTTGTTGCTGTTTCCTGTTCCAGATAACCTCACATACTTCTCCTCAGATATTCATTGCATACAAAATACCTCCTGGCTAAATTCAAACTACTAAAGGCTGAAGTTACATGTAATACCTTATGAAAACAGCATTGGATATTGGAAAATTGTGTGATAGGTCAAGGGGGTTATTTTGGAAGCTTAAGGTCACTTGGTTGTCAATTAGACTGCAGATTGCATCCATCTGTCAGAGATGAAAGTAAGCTCTCGCAAGTTTTTTTAAAACTTTCAGGTTTTTGTTCGCGAGTGTAAAACCGATAAACTACTGCTTACTTGGGAGAACGTACGTTCCTTGAAATCAAGTTTGTATATTTTACATAGGTCCCAAACAACGCAACAATTCTCGATCTAAAAAATAAAATTTTTTCAGAAAGTAATTCTCTTGTTATTGTTAATATAATTCCTTCAGATAAAAAGGTTTCAATAATCCGACAAAGCATTCGTGTAGAACCTCGTAAGTTTTGAGATTTTATTCTCTGAAAATCAAATGTCAAGTACTTCTTTACTAATAACTTTTAAAAAATGTGAGCAAATACACTTCATCAAGCGTTACGAAGTAAGCTTCATATTTTTCTGCGAAGTCGGTTTTCTGAGGCACCAATACTATCGTATCATTGATTTGTGTGATTAGCTCGACAAGTATCTTATCCCAGTTTTAACAGTTTTCATTCTGTAAAATAACTTACTTGGTTGATAATAATTGGTCTGCTAGTGCTTGGCTTTCACCTGTCTGGACTCCATCTCATATCTCACATTTTAGATTATAAATTACTGAATATTGTGACCTTTTATTTTCCATAACAAACTATTCATAAAGTATTATCAGTGAGAAAAGATATTTACCATCATAGTTTTGTCCAACATCCTTCATCGTGTATTACACAGTGAACCATCAAAGTAAACTAATGACATAACTTTATCAACTTTCCGGATGTCGATATGAAATTACTATGCTCCTGAGTGTTCTAAAGATAAAATTCTTATAAATTTATGTAAATAAAAGAAATTAATTCAGAATATTTGTAAGTAGTCTCACGTTCAATTCCCGTATCGATTACTGTTCTTGAGAATGCTTAGTAATTTATATAAGATCTTTAAAAGATATTCATTAACCCACAAACATTCACAATACTTTTATTTTTAATTTCTTATAGGTGGAAAATCATTAAATGACAATAAACGAATATGTGAATTTGAAAATACAGATAAATCTGAATGTGTTAATTTATATTTACGGGATATAGGACCACAAATTGGTTGGCGTACTGTATTTTTAGTTGAGTATACAGGACCACTAGTCATATATGTTATCATTTGGTTACTTCGACAACCTTCATTAAAAAATAATCTACTTCCTCCTATTTCATCTGATTTGTATTTAAGAAAAGTTGCTTTAGTATGTTGGTCTGGACATTATATTAAACGTCTACTGGAAACTGTGTTCATTCACCGATTTTCTCATGCTACAATGCCATTACGTAATTTATTCATCAATTGTTCATATTACTATGGATTCGCTTTGTTTATTGGGTATTTTACAAATCATCATTTATACACACCACCAAGTGAGTTTCATTAACTTTCATTACTTACTCACTTACTTACGCCTTTTACTCTTAATGAAGAAGCATAAGCGGTCCACCAGCATTCGCCAAACAAACTCTGTCCTGGGCCTTCCTTTTCAGTTCCCTCCAACCGATATTCATTCTTTACATGTCTGTCTTCAGTTCTCGGGACAATGTGTTCTTTCGTCTACCTCTTTTCCTTCAGCCTTGAGGATTCCACGCTAAAGTTTGTCTTATGCTGCATGTGGGTCAATTCCTCAATATGTGTCCTATCCGCCTCCATCTCTTTTTCCTAATTTTTCTCTTATCTGGAATCTGGTTTGTTCTTTGTCACAGTTGGTTGTTGTTGATGGTGTCTGGTCAACAGATCTGAAATATCTTGTCTAGATAGTTGCTAATAAATACATGTATCTTGTTGATGATGGCATTTGTAGCTGTCAAAGTCTAAGCTCCATACAGCGGAGCCGCCTTCACGCTTGTGTTGGGAATTATGACTTTGGTGGTAGTTATTGTGAGTTCAAGATGTCCTTCAATCGTAGAAATGCTGTCCTTGCTTTACTAATCCGTTTCATTAACAGTTGAAAAAAATGCTTTTTTTCATAGTTTATAGGTGAATTGCATACTATTTTCTCAATAATACTTACTTACTTACGCCTGTTACCCCCAATGGAACATAGGCCACCCACCAGTTTTCTTCAACCAACTCTGTCCTGGGCTTCCCTTTCTAGTTCTTTCCAGTTTTTGTTCATTCTTATATCTATGACGGGGGTTTGAAAATTGTTGAGTATTATTGAAATCAAGAACTGATCTATGTTAGGTCTCCACTGAGTATCTGGAAACACTGAATGGTCGTTTCGTCGTAGATTAATTGGAGTTCGACATTATCGTTAGATGCTGTCTCAGTAGTCAAGAGATGAAGGATTCGTGCTCAATAACGAAGTTCCTGTGTTCGGTCCTCTCATGCCGTGTTCTGAATGCACACTGCTGATGAGTTGAAAGTCAAGCAGAATATGTAATTTCATAAACCTTGAAATTTAGTGAAAAATGGTGGCATATCTCATGGTTTTGATCAATTTACATCAATACATGGTTATTCACTATGAAAATATCACGGTTTTGCAGAATTTGTCAACTTTACTATCCAAAATCTCTGATTTCACTCAGTGGTCTTAAAGCCAATAAAACCGTAATTCGAGAATAAAGGAGTGTGAATGTGTATGTGATTTGTTTGTCGCTAAAAGTACATGATGTTGATTGAAGTATGCCAGTGAGGACCTCGCAATATAACCTCCAGTAGATTCAACGAAAATTCATGTAACCTAACTGCACTAATATTAGTAAGCAGTTTATATCTAGATTAATTTCAAAGTATTTTTTCGTCGTAATATCCACAAAAATCTGTGAACAGTTATTATTTTGCTAATCAATAAGTGTAAAGAGTTAGTTTTTGAAATGAGGAGGGAAGCGCAGAGTTTGTAATGCTGTTTACTATTCCCAGTCAATTTCTTAAATATACTGGAATTCTGGTCTTTGTAGCCAACAATTATATCCACAATTCAAAATAGACCATAATTGTCTGACTAACCCTTATTATGTGAATATGTAACTTCTTGTTGTGGTGTGTGAACTTGTAAATCATTTCAAAATCAAATCATAATAATTTTTATTGTACTACAAATAATCTGAGAGCGTAATAAAGAAGTTCTGAATTTTCGAAAGACAGAGACAACACAGAACTTCGTACGTACGTACATAAGTTCAGGTTGCCATACTGCATTAGCATAGAGACGCAACTGTTAGTTCAAATCTCATGGTGGTAGAGATAGTAGAAGTATTAATGGTAATGAAGAAGACTAGGGTTTGAAGATATTATTCAAGAAGTATAATAAGGTTAGGAAGACAAAGGTAGAGGTGCTGACGAATCCAGAAGATTAGGATTTGAAAGAGCACAACGAATGTATGCACTTGCGCCATTGCAAATGACTTTGAGCCATATCACTCAGGGTTTCTAACCATCGATTATTATCATCTCGCGGACCCCAACCAGGTAGTCAACACCCACCCCGACATGACTTAGTCCACTTGTCAGTGATTTCATGGATTTCTGCCATGTTTTGGGTTGGTCGCTCCTAGCTTCCTGCCAACCTACTCCTAAACCATACAACATAGCTCTTCGAGGCAGTCGGTGGTCAGGCATAAGTAACACATGTCCCAGCCACCTCAACTTATGGAATTTCAATTCTTTATCTGTTGACCTGCTATCCCTGCCTAGCACCCGTTTCCTAACAACAATATTGCTTACTCGGCTGTCCCACGATACTTAAGTAATGTTTCGGAGGCACCTATGATCGGAAACCAGTAACCTACGAATATCTTCTACTCTGATTGGCCATGTTTTACAGCTATATAGTAAGACGGAGCGAACTACTGCAAAGTACACACTCGTCCTTTAGTCAGCAAACGGATATCTCGCCTACGCCATAAGTGACGCAAGTTGGCAAAAGCCAATCGAGCTTTCTGTATCCGTGCTGAAATTTCGTCAGTCACCAGGACATCAGCACTGATGAGACTCCCCAGATAAGTGAAGCGGTCTACACGTTCGACTACTTCACTCCCTATCACTAGTTCAAGTGTCGATGCAACCTAATCTTGAAGCAAAATTTTGCATTATAACTTTCTAGTCTATTTTAGCTATTGATTTCATATGTAAAGCGTCTTTTAGAGCCAGATTAAACGTTTATTTATGGTCAATCATTCTTTCTCTTACAGCATTTGGTCATACACAAATAGTAATTGGCTTCATCCTTTTCATGGTAAGTCTTGTCGTAATTACTTTGTCAATATTTTTTTCCGGTGATCGATTTCATAGAATTTCCTTACATTCTTAATCTTAGACAATCTTTTTTGTTACTATATCAGGTTTTTATTCATTTCGTTCTTGTCTGACAACAAGTGATGATAATAGTATTTTTAGAGGTCACATTGTCAAATTGTTTTTCGTAACATTTGTTTCTTTAAGATCCTGAAGCCCATGTGCACTATTGGTTTGTAATCAAGGTTCCTTAACTTCTTTAGGTGTATTCTCCTGTTTAAGTACTGGTCAGACATTTGCTTCTCAACCCCCTTAATTTCATAATTCACACTTTCAATGAGAGAAGTTAGTTAGTTGAACTTCTCTGACAGTTGTTATCTACTCGTGGCCACGTGTGAGCATTTGGTGAGAAAGATAGAGTGGACACTTCACTTTCGATCAAACCAGGGCATATGGGAGTTTCCCCCTTAAGTTTTAATCAGACTACAATAATATAGCTAGTTTTTTGAGCGTACAATGTAAAGTGGGTGCACTTTGGGACAGGCAAGTCCAGTATTCAATGTCCAAAACTTACCAACGTCGGGAGACCACTGAATTGAGGGTAGTTCCCCAAGCTGATGAATAAGCTCATTTTAAATGGAGTTTCAATAGTTTTTTTGGTTTAAGTGTTCATATGTCTACATTTGTACTTATAACATTACTCATTACTAATTTGTCATACATTTTATCCTACTGTTTAGATTGGTGAATGGGGCAATTTTTCATGTCATTTAGCATTGAAACGTCTTCGACCAGCTGGTTCAACAATTCGACAAATACCTTATCCAATGCCTAATTGGTGTTTCACTCGTCTATTTAATTTAGTAGCATGTCCTAATTATACTTATGAAATTATATCATGGATTGGTTTTACTATTATGACACAAACTTTACCAGGTAAATTATTCGTTTTCATTATAGGGGTTTCATGAAGATTGTTACCACCTTTCATTGAACTCTAATCATGAATCGATGATTGGTAGACCACTATTAAAAACTTGAAAGCAATGGTACTTATCAGCAGTGGGGCTTTTTGACCTCCACCCGTGGGAATCGAACCTAGGACCCTCGGTCTCGCTTGCACATTATTGACTCCTAGACCATTGAGCCGGCATCCAACGCTGTTAAGACTCGCATCGTTTGCATTAGCGGTGCAGTGAACTGAAGGAATGCGACTAGAGTTAGTCGTAGAGATAAGATAGGTATTAGGGGGTGTAGGAAGGATTTGATTTTGACCAATTTGGTCTCGTGTGCTGTTACGGGTATAAGGGCGGTTGTCACTTTCCGGCTGCCCACACCGTGGAAAGTTGTTTCTTGAGGGGCCTGAAAAAGAAGGTAGATTAGTATCGGTCTTAGAGACCTGGTTGCGTGACCGCAGAGCCCGAGGGACAACTGACTGGGGTCGGTCACGCACGGCATTTTGACGAAAGGTTTTTTTAGTATTAGCTCCGCTCTTAAAAGCCCTTAGTGGGCACCCTTACCGCCAGAGACGGAAATCCGTGAGTTAGGGTGAGGTGTGACGTTTTTAGTGTCAACCTTTTCTAACCTCTTCATTCCTTTGTGAGAAGACAGCATCACTGCAGATGCTGGTTGTCCGAGGGAAACACCTTACTACTGTCACACCCCTCTGCAGTCAGCAGTACGACTTCACCCTCAGACCTTGAGTAACTGCTTTTAGTCTCATAGTTCTCCAGTCGACCTGTCTGGCATGGTAGAACCTTGAGGAACATATGTTCCAGCCAATATAGCTCGGTCGGGTGATCACGATAGGCAAGCCCGACCACCACGTCAAGGTAGCAGTTACGGTTGGGCCAACGCTGTAAATGGTCTAACTTTAATCAATTAGCGCTTCCATGTTTATAATGATGGTCTAACAATCATCGATTCATGATTCAATGGAAATTATTATATATATATATATATATATATATATATATATATATATATATATATTCAATCTTTAGTATACTATTATTCATTGGGATTTGTGTTAATAGTTATAAGCAAACTGATATATGTCAGCTAATACTGCTACTATCTCTACTACCTCTACCACTATCATGTAATATGAATTGACTATTCCATCTGTTTGTGCTAATGTGTTTTGTCAGCCAACTGATTGATTGGTCATTAAAGCGTAGGCAAACAGGCACTTAGTGTACTAATTATTAGATATGTGATGACCTTTCCTTTTTATAGATTTATACTCTAAATTCACTGAGTGTGATTGTTTGTAATTGTGTGGAATAAATTCTTTTTTATTGCTTACTGTGGTTCTCTATTTTTGGTCGTAAATCAGGTATCTGATATAACATCATCTCATCATCAAACATGAATATACTACTGATTATGAGTTGAGATACAAGTAGTAATATTGTTTTTCACGAACACTATTATCTATATCAATCAATACTACTTTACAACAGGTAAAAAAGAAGAGTCAGTCAGTCAGTTAGTCAGTCAGTTACAGCGTAGAACTTCGTACGTACGTACGTACGTACATTAGTTCACGTTTCCATACCACATTAGCGCAGAGATCAAATTTTCAATTTAAATCCCATAGTAGTAGAGTTAGTAGAAGTATTAGCAGTAATGGAGAAGACTAGGGCTTGAAGATATTATTCAAGAAGTATAATTCAGTGAAATAAATTTAAAAAGAGAAAAGACACTATCATAAGGAACTTAAAAGATTGTAATTTGAGAAAAGACAAATAATGGATGCACCTGTGCCATAGCAAACGATTTCAAGCTATGTCGTTCAACGTCTCTAACCATTGGTGACTATCGTCTCGCGGACCCCAACCAGGTAGCCTACATCTACCAACATGACTCAGTCCACTTGTCAGTGACTTTATGGATTTCTGCCATGTTTCTGTTTGGCCACCCCTAGCTTTCTTCCAATCTACTCCTACACTGCAAAACATCGCTCGTCGAGGCAGTTGGTGGTTAGCCATACTCAACACATGTCCCAACCACTTCAACTAATGAAGTTTCACTACTTCATCTATTGATTTGCCATCCTTACCTAGCACCCGTTTCCTAACGACAGCATTGCTTACTCGGTTGTCCCACGGTATACGAGCAATGCTTCGGAGACATCTATGATCGAATACTAGTAACCAACAAACATCTTCTACCCTTAACGGCCATGTTTCACAGTCATATAGGAGAACGGAGCGAACTGCTGTGCAGTACACTCATCCTTTGGTTAGAGAATGGATATCTCACCTACGCCATAAGTGACGCAGGTTGGCAAAAGCCAATCGAGCCTTCTGTATCCGTGATGGGATTTCGTCAGTCACCAGGACATCATCACTGATGAGACTCCCAAGATAAGTGAAGTCCTCTACTTCTCCTAACGGCCATGTTTCGTATCCGTACAGTAGGACGGAGCGAACTGCTGCACAGTAGTACACTCGTCCTTTGGTTAACGAGCGGATATATATATATATATATATATATATATATATATATATATACATGATTATTGCTTATCCCCAGAAAGTATTCATGTAATTCTCTATTATACTGTGTTTCTTACCCCCCTTTTTTTCTTTTCTAGCTCTCATATTCACTTTATGTGGATTTCGTCAAATGAGTGTATGGGCTATTAATAAATTAAAAGCATATCGTCGTGAATTTGCAAATTTCCCTAAACAACGTAAAGCAATTGTACCATTTATGCTCTAAATTAATTTTTAAAACAAATTTTATTCTCATTATTTTGTAATGTCATAATCATGCGCATCACTATGTGTGTATGTGTGTGTACTTGTGTGTACGTGTGTATGTCATGTCATCCCAGTTTTGTATTTCCTTTTTAAAATGTAAACAGAAAATAAAAGCTGTATTTTGTTTCTGCACTTTTGAAACTAAAAGATTAATTTTGAAAGATTGGTTTGATGATGGGGTCGGAATTTTCATTGCTCTTACATCATGAGTCAGCTTAGCTCAGTCAGTTACAACGTAGAATTCGATATGTACGTAGGTATATCAGTTCAAGTTGCCAAACCGCATTAGCGTACAGAGATATAATTGTCAATTCAAATCTCATAGTGGTAGATGTAGTCGAAGTATTAGCAGAATTCAGAAAGTTTAGGATTTGAAGTTATTCAAGGAGTTATATTCCAGTGAAATAGATTTGAGAAGAGAAATATGACGGTAATGATCCATCGATAACTATCATCTGGCGGACCCCAATCAGGTAGTCTACACCTACCAATACGACTCAATTCAGTTGTCAGTGACTTAGTGGATCTGTGCTATGTTTTGGTTTGGCCGCCCATAGCTTCCTTCCAGCCTATCCCTAGATCATAAGACATCTCTCTTCGGGAAAATCAGTGTTTAGGCATACGTAGCACAAGTCCAAACCATCTCAACTGATGGAAATTCATTACTTTGTCAATTGATCTGCCATCAATACCTAACACCAGTATTGTTTACCCAATTGTCCCAAGATATACAAGCAATGGTTCGAAGACACCTACATCAAAAACTGATTTTAATTAGATAACTATTCAAAAATCAGGAAGCATTAAACAGCTATTTTGTCCTATAATGGAACTCTTCGACAGTATGTACTGGGGGCTGTAGGAATTATTATACTGTTATTAAGCGCTTCCTAGTTTTCAGCTATTGTCTGAGCTTTATTCTTTGATGAAAATCCTAGAAAACTAGTTACAGGTATGCATCGTAGCATGATCAAACTGAAGGTTTAAGATTGCCCCTCGCTTAGTTGTTTTCCTGGAGTCTAATCTTCACTTAGTTGTTAGTGGGAGAGTTATCAAGTAAGCAGTAGTATTATGTTAGTGATTTTGTAAACATCGATCAACTGGTGTAAAGTGAAACTATAGGGCATAATGCTCAGAATGACAAATCACAATTTGTTTCAGTTGCATACTTTATGATGGCCAGTGTCCGAGATCTGACAATAAGCCTCCCAAATTCATTATTTTGGTGGTGAATCAAGAGTGAAAAGGAAGTCTATTTGGCTACCGAATAATATGTATATGTATATATATATATATATATATCACCTGAGGAAAGGAAGTCATTTCTTAACCAATCATATGCATTCATTCTTTAAGACATTATTGACCTTCTCGGTTGGCCGCTTCTGATTGGCCTATCATACTAGTGTATAATGAGATGGAGTTTTCATTACGGATTGAAACTTTACGCCATATTATTGATTGTTAGTGGAAATAACCCAATCGGATGAATCTAAGAATCGCCACATATTCCGCAAACATCTTCCATGATAATTGAATCGCTAGCCTTCATAATAATGGGCTAAGAGCTTCACTCCCAGAAAAGCACTCTGTTGCTAGTCTCAGTAACATGTTAACCCCTAATGTCCACATTAATTTGTTAGATACTGATAAGTTACGACGTCCTGTTTATCAGGAAACTATTCTTATAAAGCTAAATAAATATCCACTCTGAATTAGCTGTTCGTCATTTTTATTCAACAACGAAGTATAAAATTAATACTACAACAGTATATCGTTCATGTACAATTCCTGTTGATCATATCGAGTGAATTTAATACCAGTGTAGTGAACGAAAACACAGGTGGGGCAACCGAATTGTATTTAACGGAAATTACAGAGTTACTCAGTAAAATCGGAAAACCATATCGTAAATCGTTAATTTGCAAAATATCAGTTCATCATATCGAACTGGACTGTTCCTGTTGCAAAACATCAATCCATTGTCACTATTCATGCGTTTCATACACATTCCATTGTTTTCTAACTCTTCCTTTCTTGATCTTCCACCCATCTTCTGCTGCCAGACATTACGTTGACACTCACGTCATATACTACTTATAAGTAGCTCGCACCACAACCCTCTTTTAACAATAAACATTTTATTCAACACACACATAGATAGATAGACAAGCTCATTTGGAATATCATACCAATAGAAAAAAATCGATAAGTTTCTGTTAAATCAAGCCGATAAATTGGATGAGATTACATTTCAAGTCATTAGTATAAAAAGTGTGTTACATTAGACTTAACGATTTTTACTAATAATAACACACTATATCATTATTGATGAACTTTGAAGCAGAATGAAACTATTGTTCTAAGGTTACAGAAAAAATAAATCTATTTAAAGCAATTATTAGTCCGTTTGATAAATTTTTTGAATCGTGTAATCCAAAGATAGAAATTATCAGAACTATGTGTAAAAGATTGTCAATGTTGGCGGAATACATTTCTAACAGACTATATGTCTGTCTATGTGACAGATATATTATTCACTTGTTACGGACATTTATAATATAGAAATAATAGGAAGGTGAACTGGGGAAAATAGTCGGTAAGTGAAAATGATTTGAAACTTCTTATGTTGGTTAATAAAAATTAGCTTAGGATATTCATCCAATATCCTAAGAGAAGTATTGGTCAATTCCTATTGGTTGATTTTATGGTCGTCCTAGAAATCAATGTCATGTACTCCAGTGTTGTTTCTTATTGGTCGTCCTGACTGTTAATGTCACTCAAATTTTGTTTTCTATTGGTCGACTTAACTGTCAATGTCACAGACTTTGATGCTGTTTCATATACGACTTAAATACGCATTATCTGTACTGTTTCATGACCCGGATCCTTATTCTCTTCTGGACTCGAACCTCGTACTTTCTGGATGCATGTAGAATACAGGTTCTACTTCATAGCAAGACTTCTTTCACTCAATGGGGGTTGAGAAACTCGTATTAGAGTAGCATGTCGTGTAACCGGGCCCTCTCTCTCGTTTTTCGACTAAGGTAAACTCGTAATAGTCCAAGCATATCAATTTGACGTGTTTACATGCATGCGTAACAGAAAAACAATTATTGGTAAAAAGGGGTAGAGGAATGCTTATGTGCTACAGAAACCATTGAATCTGTGTGGGGTAGGACGCCAATTCAGGTGTCCGAAAAGAACTAGGTGACTTTTTCTTAAGGAGACACTGCACGAGCTATTGATCTATAAGGTAATGAAGCAACGTTGGAGGAAGTACAGTCCCATGGTTTCCGGTTATTAACAATAATATAAGATCATACATCATTTGTTCCATCAGTCAGCTACAACGTAGAACATCGAAAGTACGTATATCAATCAGTTCAATCCGCCATACTAAATTAGCACACACAGAGACCAGATTGTCAATTCAAATCCCATAGTAGTAGGAAGTATTAGCGTTAATCAAAAAACTTAGTGATCGAAGATATCTTTCGAGAAGTACATCCAAGAAGAATCGATTTGCAAACAGAAGAGAGAAAAGCTGATGAGGAATTCAGAAGATTGGCATTGGTTCCATGGGAATCATGGACTCAAAGTGTACCAGTGGAATCAGCATTTCCAACTTGCCTAGATGGACCCGCCATAACAACCAACACTGCTTAAGTCACAGACGAGAAAATTCACTTCTCTTTGTCTAAATTTCCAAACAACAACACCCCTCAAGAGATCAGTGGGCAGGTCTTCTCTAACAGTAGTGATACATACGAGAACGAATAACAGACTATCTTCATTCAAAGAAAGCATTTGGAGGTAGGTCCAGGGTGAGAACAATCTGTTTTTTCTATTTCGAATATATAAAGACGATTTACAATTCCATATGATCAAGGCTTGCCAGTAAACCCCACCTTAAATGCACCACACACTCTGTATCGCACTAATATATATATATATATATATATATATATAGTCGTCCTAGATATCAATGTCGCATACTCCTATGTTCTGTCTTATTGGTTGTCCTGACTATCAATGTCACACACTTCAAATGTTGTTTCCTATTTGACCTAACTATATAAATACACATTATCTGTAACATTCTATGACCCGGAAACGTATCCCTAGTCCGGTATCCTCATCCTCTTCAGGACTCGAACCTCGTACTTTCTGGATGTTTGTAGAATACATGTTCTAATTCTTAAATGTCGCTTCCTATTGGTCGCCTTAACTGTCAATGTCACAGACTTCAAATGTTGTTTCCTATTCAACCTAGATGTATAAATACGCATTATCTGTAACATTTTATGACCAGGACACGGATAGTTAAATCTGTATCCTCATCTGGACTCGGACCCCGTACTTTCTGGATGCTTGTAGAATACATGTTCTGCTTCATATCAAGTCTCCTTATTTTTTACTCAATATAGGGGTTGGAGCACTCGGATTAGAGTAGCATGTCTTGTCACCGGATCCTCGAACTCGTTTCCCCACTAAGGTAAACTCGTAATAGTAATAGTAATAGTAATCTCAAATGACATGTTTACGTTCATGTGTAACATATATAGATTACGTAATACGGATGATAACTTCTGTCTTCCTATCATTCTACACTATCCAAGTTAGACATTAACACCGTTAGATACCGGCTCAGTGGTCTAACGGTTAGGGTGTTTGCGCACAATACCGAAGGTCCTGGGTTCGAATCCTGCGGGGTGCAAGAGTCATGGATGTGCACTGCCGCTGATGAGTCCCATACCAGGACGAGACGGCCAGGTTTCTAATAGTGGTTGGTCTAACATTGATCGATTCATGGTTTCAAAAATTTGTAACTTAACAATCTTCACAACTCCGTAATGCAAAAATCAAATATATAATTTATTTTGATGATATGAAATCAACGCCAATGTTTATAATTGACTATTCACTACCTGCTTGCCGATATTTCAAGTTTATTGTGACTGGAATTGTATTGTAGGGGAGAATGAATGTGCATACAGTAAGTAGTAAATTTATTTATTTCATAGAATTTGATTAATTAATTATAAATACAATTATAATTTCAAAAACACAAATTATTAACAGATCAGTCAGTCAGTCAATCAGTATACACATACACATACACTATTATAATCAAAGGATAGATAATAAATACAATGCGATACACAACACGACAGGCGCATATACAAACAAGTACACACATACACAGAGAGAGACAGACAGTTAATTCATGTAATCTTTCTCTCTATCACTCTCTATCTGTCTGTCTGTCTATCTATCTGTTAGGAAGAATCATATTGACGACTATACACATTGGTAGTCAGTAGTAGTAGTAGTAGTAGTAGTAGTAGTAGTAGTAGTAGTAGTAGAGTAGTAGTGTGAGTAGTAGTCAGTAGTAATAATACAAATAAAGAAGATTAATGTACACAGGATGTCAATGAACATAAGCATCTCCGTCATCATCCTCGTCATCGTCAGCTCGCTTTAAACTACCAAATACTTCCAATGGGACAGGTTGATTTTCTATGTCAATATCTACATTAAGAAAAAAAAACGATAAGAGGCATACATTTGTGTGTGAATATTGAATAACTTGTTCTCATTTTAAGATATTGTATATTAGCGTTGATCTTAGAGACCTGGGTGTGTGACCGCAGAGCCCAAGGGACAACTGCTTGAGGCCGGTCACGCACGGCCTTTTTATGAAAGGTATTTTGAGTATTAGCTCCGCTCTATTCGAAAGCCCTTAGTGGGAAACCTTACCACCGGAGAGGGAAATCCGTGGGGTAGGATGAGGTGTGACATTTTTAGGGTCGACCTTTTCTAACACTTCCTTCCTTGTGAGAAGGCAGCATCGCTGCAGATGCTGGTTGTCCGAGGGAAGCAGCTCACTGCTGTCACAACCCTCCATCACAGTCAACAGTACGAATTCGCCCTCAGACTTTGAGTAGCTGCTTTTACTCTCATCGTTCTCCAATCGACCTGCCTGGCATGGTATAACCTTCAGGAACATAAGTTCCACCCAGCAGAGCTCGGCTGGGTCACAGGTGTAAGGCAGTTTAGTTACCCAACGAAAACAATGGATCATGGTTGTGTAAGATCATGAATGGATGTTATATGTGAGCTCAGCAGTCAAGAGGTTAAGAGTTCACGCGCGAAAAGGAAGTTTTTGGGTTTGATTCCTACAGACAGGGAATACACAATGCTGATGAGTTCTATACTATAACGAAACAGCTGTCCAATGTGTTTCCAGGCTTCTAATGATGATCTAAAATTGGTCATTTCGTGAATTCCGTCAGACATTCAGTTACAACGTAGAACTTCGTACGTATATCAGTTTAGGTCGCCATACCACATTAACCAGAGACGCAACTGTCATTTAAAATCCCATAGTAGTAGTGGTAAAAGTGTGATTCCGGTTCGACGATATTATTCAAGAAGCATAATTCAGTGAAATAGATTTGAGAAGAGAAATGTGAAGGTCATGAGGAATTCAGAAGATTAGGATTTGAGAGAACACAAAGAATGGATGCACCTGCGCCATTGCAAACGATTCTGAGCCATGTCGTTCAAGGTCTCTTTCCATTGGTCACTTTCGTCTCACAGACCTCAAACCAGATAGCCTACATCTACCAACATGACTCAGTAGTCTACTTGTCAGTGACTTCATGGATTTGTGCCATGTTTACGAATATTCAATGTTCAATTAGGAGTGTGAGAGCAGCAAGGTGTTTCCCTCGGACAACCAGCATCTACAGCGATGCTGCCTTTTCACAAGGAGGGAAGGGGTTAGAAAATGTTGACCCTCAAAATAACACACCCCACCTTACCCGACAGATTTCAGTCTCCAGCAGTGAACCCATAAAAAGACCGTGCGTTACCGGCTCCAAGAAGTTATCAACTGAGCTCTGTGGTCACACTTCCAGGTTGTTCAGACTAACGCTATCCCGATTGGTTCTTCAAGTTCCTCAGGAAATACGCTCCTACGGTGTAGACAGCCGGGAATTGACAACCGCCTTCATACCCCCGTAAAAACACACCAGACCGGATCGGTTACAATCAGAGTCAGATGCAACGTAGAACTTTGTACGTAAGTACATCAGTTCATGTTGCCATACCACATCAGCACACAGAGATGTAATTTTCAATTCAAATCCAATAGTAGAAGAGGTAGTAAAGGTATTAGCAGTAGTCGGAGAGGTTAGGATGAGAAGATATTATTCAAGAAGTATGATTCAATGAGAAAAGTTTAGAAAGTCGAAACTAGAGGTGTTGAACAATCCAGAAGATTAGCATTTGAGAGAACACAAAGAACAAATGAACCGGAGCCATTGCAATCGGTTTTGAGTCATGTCATTCAGGGTATCTAACCATCGATTAATATCATCTAGCCGAACCCAACCAGGTAGTCGACACCCACCCCGACATGACTCAGTCCACTTGTCAATGACTTCATGGATTTCTGCCATGTTTTGTTCTGGTCGCCCCTAACTTTCTTCCAACCTATTCCTACACTACAAAACAAAGCTCGACGAGGCAGTCGATGGTTAGGCATACGTAACACATGTCCCAACCACCTCAACTGATGAAGTTTCATTACTTCATCTATTGATTTGCCATCTCTACCTAGCACCCGATTCCCAATAACAACGTTGCTTACTCGGGTGTCCCACAATATACGAGCAATGCTTCGAAGACACCTATGATCGAAAACCAGTAACCTACGAATATCTTCTACACTCACTGGCCATGTTTCACAGCCATAAAGTAAGACGGAGCGAACTACTGCGCAGTACACTCATCCTTTAGTCAGCAAACGGATATCTCGCCTACTCCATATGTGACGCAAGTATCAGTTACAATCAAATTCTCCCTACACTTTCTAATCACTTTCTTATTTCCACAACCAACCTTTAACTATGTATATATACATTCATTTTTACACTTTCTCTTAATAAAAAAAAGCACTCACCGTCTGCACAAGCTTTCCTTCGTCGTTTACTAGACCCTGTATGTTTAGAAATATTATCATTGATTGCTTCTGCGAGTTCTTGTTCTCCCATCGAATCATCATCATCAGCATCCATCTCGTCGCCGACTTCATCCACATTAATATCAATCTCTTCAGCATTAACACTAGCTTTCGGTGGTTGTTCATCTTTGTCAGTAGTCAAACCCAATTGTCGAATACCAGCTGATTGAAATTGTACTAGAGGACGACCAGCTAAATTAGATTTCCCTGTTGTACCAGTAGTAGTTTCTGTATGTGATTTATCTAATTTTTGCATTTCATCTTTTGGTGCTACGATATAAATTAGAACAAATAAGATAAATATGAAAATTAAAAATAGAACCAATTCTACTACTATAGGATGAAAACCATTTGAGTAGTATATATAGAGAAATACTTACTTACTTGCTTACTTTCGAGTGTTACCCCCAATGGAGGATAAGCCGCCCATCAGTTTTCTCCAACCTACTCTGCCCTAGGCTTCCTTCTCCAGTTCTGTCCAATATTTGTTCATTCCCCTCATATCTTTCTCTATTTCACGGCGTTATGTGTTCCTTGGCCTTCCTCTTTTCCTTTTGCCTTGAGGGTTCCATGTGAGGGTTTGTCTTGTGGCGCAGTTCGGTACTTTTCGTAGTGTGTGTCCTATCCACCTCCACCGCTTCTTCCTGATTTCCTCTTCCACTGGAATCTGGTTTGTTCTCTCCCACAGTTCGTTGTTGCTGATGGTGTCTGTCCAACGAATCCGAAGTATTTTGCGTAGACAGCTGTTCATAAACACTTGTATCTTCTGAATGATGGCTTTCGTAGTTCTCCATGTTTCCGCTCCATACAGTAGAACTGTCATGACATTTGTATTGAAAATCCTGATTTTGGTTGGGTGGAATTATTTTTTATCCTGGTTAGCGACACAACACACAATATACACCGACCGAATCACGCATGACGTAGAAGTTTTCGAAGATAGATGTTAAAGACTTTAGATATCTGGGAAGCATCACTGATGGGGAAGGTGGATCTGATGCAGAGATGTGAAGGAGCGAATCGGCAGAGCAAGGGCAACATTTCTACAGTTGAAGAACATCTAGAACTCAAAACAACTTTCAAAAAACATCACAGGCAGCATTGAAGGATGTAAGAACCTTTACTAATCTTGGCAGTCTCGTGAATTAGCAAGATGGATCTAACGCAGATGTGGAGTGGATTAGCAAAAGCTGCATTTCTACAATTGAAGAACATCTGAAACTCATAGCAACTATCAACCAACACCAAAGTCATAATTTTTTTTAATACACACGTCAAGACAGTTCTACTGTGTGGGATGGAAACTCAGGGAACTACCAAAGCCATCATCTATAAGACACAAATCTACGTACGATACTAAGGATTCATTGGCCAAACACCATCAGCAACGACCTACTGTGGGAGAGAACAAACGATATTCCAGTGAAGGAAGAAATCACGCAGAAGCACTGCAAGTGGATAGGACACACACACATCATAAAATAAGCCTTCCATCCGGAACCTTCAAGGTCAAAGAAAAATGGGAAGACCTAGGAACACATTACGTTGAGAAATGAAGACAAACATGAGAAGAATGAAGAACAGTTACAGAGAACTAGAAAGAAAGACTCAGGACAGAGTAGGAAGGAGAATGCTGACCGGCGGAGCAAAAGAAAGAAATGAATGGGGTACCGACAGGAAGTAAAGGAAGCAACAACAGGAATGGAAGAAGGCTGGAGCGTTGGAAGTCACGACTCAAAGATGGTGTGCAAATAGAGTATTCAATGCAGTGTTTTCGTTTTTAATTGACTGAGAGTGTAAATTTGCATAATGCAATCTTCCTCGCCTGCCTCAGTCTTCTCAGTACAATGTTGTTACAGAGAAGTAACAAAATCAATAGAAACCAAATGATTGAAGCTGTGATGTAAACGATAGCGTATATACAATCTAAGTGTTTTTCACATGCATAACGAACTATAAGAAGACATGAAAAAGAACCTACAGTATGACAGATAACAAATCAGATTCAAATAAAGGAAGAAACGTTGCAGGTAGATAAGACATACATGGAGGGGGGGAAAAGCAACCAACTGCAAGCCGTCACTTAGAATCCTCAAAGTCAAAGGAGAAGAGGTGGACGAAAAAGATCATATTACGCCAAGAATAGGAAGCAGACATGAAAAATATTGAGCTCAGAACAGAACAGCATTAGCAACAACCTGCTGTATGACAGAGAACAAATCAGATTCAAACACAGGAAGAAACGCTGCAGGTGGATAAGACACACATGGAGGGGGGGAAGCAACCAACTGCATCACTTGGAATTCTCAAAGTCAAAGGAAAGCAGGGAGACAAAGAAGAACAAATGACAGACATGAAAAAAATTGAACAGCAATGAAGAACAACTAGAAGAGAGAGAGAGTTCAGGACAGAGTTGTCATTGTTCTAAATATTTACAAACACGGGTATTTCAAATATCATGCTACAGTGAAATGTGTACAAACAAAATTTATGTTTTAATCAATCGGTTTCAGCTACACCACTGAATAAATTTGTTAGGATATTCATCGAATATCCTAAGATAATTGCTTGTAAGTCTAATTCTATCGGTCAATATTATGGTCGTTCTAACTATCCAATGTCACTCCAAATGTTGTTCCGTATTGGTCGTCTTAACTGTCAATGTCACAGACTTCAAAGTTTTTACCTATTCAACCTAACTGTATAAATACGCAGTACCTGTAACGTTTTATGACCCGCACCCGGGTCGTTAGTCCGAGATCCTTATTCTCTTCTGGACTCGGACCTCTTACTTTCTGAATGCTTGTAGAATACACGCTGTACTTCAGATCAAGTCTTCTTCTTCTTTTACTCAATGGGAGAGGGGTTGGAACAATCAAATTAGAGTAACCAGTCGTGTCGCCTGACCCTCGATGTTAACTCTCATCTTACCGACTCATCTGAACTCATAATAGCATTCCAGCAACATCAAAATTCAATTCAACCATTACACAAATCTTATTTTAGCATACTCTTATTATTTATTAACTTACCATTTACGGTGGAATTTTCTTCATTCAATTGTAATTGACTAGCAACAAAACTAACACGTGTATTATATGTAGCTTGTACACTCCGTCGTATACGTAACATTTCACGTAGTGTATCTTCATTACCATGACTGACTTCAAAATCTTTCCATATTTGCCAAAATTGTGTTTCAGTCTAATGAAGAACAGGAAGAGGGAGAAGAAAACGCGTGAATCAACAGTTAGATACTTGGAAACACTGTTATGATGACCGTTTCTTCCTACTGTGGTGCGCGCTACTTATAAGTAGTATATGACGCGAGTGAAAACGTAATGTCTGGCAGCAGAAGAGGATGGGGGAAGATCAAGAAAAGAAGAGTGAGGGGAACACAATGGAATTTGTATGAAACGCATGAATAAGTGAAATGTCAGACAATGGATTGAAGATTTGCAAATTTCACCGTTTACGATATGGTTTCCCTATTTTACTGAGTAACTCTGTAATTTGAGATAAATAGAATTCGGTTGCCCTCACCTGTGTTCTCCTTTACTACACTTCTATATGGGAGTTATCAGCAGTGTGAATCTACGACCTGCTATACTTGTAGGAATCGAGCACACAGGATATTAGGACTTGTGCACGAAAGCTTAACCTCTTCGACAACTACGGTGAATAATTATAAATGTAGTGCCTCCACGTACATTCGAGTTCGCTTACATTTAATTTGGTTAAGCCGTTTCGAATTATTTATTTAACCGACCAAGCCATTTGTATTGCAACAATTTATATGTACCAATCGTTCACATTATTGTCTGGTTTGTATGAGCTTACATGACATATCTCACTTGTCATTTGATCTTGTCAATCATTCGTCGCTTTTATTCATGTGAGCATGCCTATTTCGCTTGTCGCATGTCTGTCTTATATGTGTCTGACTATATATATTCTTTGTCATGCTCTATCTCTGGGGGTTGGCTCAGAAGCCTTCTCCAATTCAAGTCGCTTCATTCGTCTGATTCACTGCTTCTCCACATCGCTCCACACTTGGAGTTGAGTCGGCTCTTAGCCTTCTCCAACGCGCTTCGCCTATTCGTTCGCATTGTAATCCTAGGAGTTGGCTCAACAGCCTTCTCCAATTCACATCGTTTCGTACGCTTTGTTCGTTGCTTTTCAACTTCGTTTTGTGGTGTGTCCAAAAATAAACGTATTCATTACTTCGAATTAATCTTCTGATTTATCAACCGTCAGGCGCTATTTGGCAACAATTGTCTGAACGAGTTAATTAACGAGCTTAAGAACACGTACAGATTGGTCAACACAATAAAGATATCACTGAAATTATGAATCAATCAGTTATTGTTAGACTAACATTAGAAACTTGGAAGCAACTGTGAAGATGACCGTTTCATTCTAGTGTATGGAATTTATCAACAGTGTGAATTCATGTAGAAATCAAACATACAGGACATTCGGTCTTGTGCACGAACACTTAACCACGAGACACCATGAGTAGGCATCCAACGGTGTGAATGTTTTATTCTGATCAATCTACGGTTTTTGTGCAACGTATCAAAGAACTTCAATTTAAAGTAGACACTTATCCTTTTTTCAAAGCATTACTATGATTATTATGGTGAATAGTATTGACTAAAGCAGTTAGTATATCGTTAAATGAATGATCTGAAAAGAATTTCTATCGTAGAAGGCCTGAATCAAAAAAATTATCAAAGTTTAACTAGTCTTGTAACAATGTTCATAGAGTTCAGTCAATTGATTCGAAATCTTTCACTGGGTAGGCATGTTCTCATTTTACACAACAGAAGTTGTTTAAACAGTGTGAAGATGTTACACATTGGATAAGGTGGTTTACACTTCGAATTATATTAATCATGAAAGTGAGTTTCTCATCACCTTTATTTTTCTTTTTAAGTTTATTTCACTAGATTCTACTTCTTGAATAATATCGTCGAACTCCAATCTCTTCGACTACTATGGGATTCGAAGTTACAATTGCGTCCCTGTACTAACGTGGTATTGCAACTTGAACTGATGTACGTATGTACGTACAACGTTCTGCGTTGTAACTGACTGACTGATGAAAGTGAATGATTTCACTGAAATCAATTGTTGAATCTCACTCAGCCTTAAGTGAACCGATTAGAATCAAGATTACACTTCATGTATTTTGCATGGACTTAAATGTGCACCGATTTCATAAACTGTTTGTTGGTATTCACAAAATACAAGTTGGCAATGAAATAGTTCTTAAAATGCTTGAAATTTCCATTCCATAACCAAAACGTGAATTTAGGAAGAACCTTAAGCTAAAACACAAGACATAACTGCGCCTAAGGTAGTGATTCAATGAGTCGTCAAGATTGTTTAATCAAATTAGATAAGATCCTCTCCTTCTCTAACTCTTACTCTAAATCTCAACTATGAGTGGTTTAAGTTTGTTAAGAACAGCATGACAAAGCAATCTGTCGTATCTAGTGACAGTTAGTGATAAAAAATAACTCTAACCCTAATATGAAAGACACAGCCAAAACAACCAGCTCAGAGGACGAAACACCAACACAACCAAATTTAGAACTCCAGATCTACTTTTAGTACCAAAATCGTACCGTTTTCTATTACACCTGGTCTCACTCAGTGACGAAAACACTGTGGGGTGATAACGGTAACTCATAATAGGCAAACTTAATCTACAAGGAATAATCCGATATGTGAGGGTTGATTATTCCACTAAAATTTTATGGCTTTCTAGCTGTTGGGTATTTTATAAGAACGGCAGTGTTTTCTGAATGGCTGATAAACCATTCAAGGTCATCAGTGTACTGTGCTCCCAACCGGTTTAGAATGTATTTATGACATGTTACTCTAGTCAGCTTTTACTACACAATTATTTACAAATAATCTCAAACTACTTATAAAATAACTAGTAGTATATTTGTCTCGATGAATATTATTGCTCCGCGACTTACTCGTGGATCACACATTTGAGCACAATACGCATAAACAGCTCGTGCTCTATCGATTTCACCTAGTTTTCTTTCCAAATCAGCAAATCTTAAACACATTTTACGTGAATGTTCTTCTGGTAAACGTTCTATAGCTTGTTCATAAGCGGAACGTGTATGTGTCACACCATGAAGATCTGCAATACGTTGAATGTAAATATTGAACATCTGAAAAGAATTTAATTTGTTTTTTTTTAGAAAAAAATTTATAATTAAATACAATACAAAGTTTATGCTATAGTTACTGTCTATACTCAGGAGCTAGTTTACACTATAATATACGACTGTATTTATATAGCAATGAGTAGGTGGAACGTCCTCAAGTGCGATTAAAGTTAGTAACAGACAGACAGATACAACACAGAACTTCGTACATAAATACATCAGTTCAGGTTGTGATGTCACATCAGCACACAGACGCAACTGTCAGTTCAAATCTCATAGTGGTAAAGATGGTAGAAGTATTAGCAGTAATGGAGAAGATTAGGGAGCGAAGATTTGATTCGACAAGTATAATTCAGTAAGATAAATTTAGAAGGAGAAAGGTAGAGATTATGAGGAATGCAGAAGCTTAGAATTTCATAGAACACAAAGAGTGGATGCACTTGCGCCATTGCAAACGATTTTGAACCATGTCGTTCAAGGTCTCTAACCATTTGTGACTATCGTGTCGCGGACCCCAACCAAGTAGCCTACATCTACCAACATGACTCAGTCCGCTTGTCAGTGACAGCAGTAAGGTGTTTCCCTCGGACAACCAGCATCTGCAGCGATGCTGCCTTCTCACAAGGAAGGAAGGACTTAGAAAAGATCGACCCTAAAAATATCACACCTCACCTTACCTCACGGATTTCCGTCTCCGGCGGTAAGGGTGCCCACTAAGGGCTTTCAAGAGCGAAGCTAATACTCAAAAATCCTTTCATAAAAAGGCCGTGCATGACCGGCCTCAAGCAGTTGTCCCTTGGGCTCTGTGGTCACGCTTCCAGGTCTCTAAGACCAACACTAATCTATCTTCCTTTTCAGGTCCCTCAAGAACAACCTTCCACAGTGTGGGCAACCAGGAAGTGACAACCGCCCTCATACCGGTAACAACACACGAGACCAGATCGGTCAAAACCAAATATAGTAACGTGTTTATGAAATTCACCCTGGAGCTTTTCTAGGGATACTGCCGGTCTCCAGCCCGGATAAAGTAGGAAGGTTGGGTATGGGGTTGGCAATGCCAACCCGTATAAATCCAACTTACTAAAACTAAGCTAATCAGAAAAAGTAATTTGCTGGTCGATAGCCTATGCTTCAATGGGGCTAACAGGTAAGTACCGTGTTTTTAGAACAGAGCTAAGGTTCAACATAGTTTACACTTCTAGCTTCAGTATAACTTTCAAATATAGTAGAACGATTATGATCGAAAGCCGTCGGTGGAAATCACCTCTTTCCAACAGAAAAATAGTTGATATTATAGCTTTGATCTGGAATTCTGTGAATAACTCGACATCACCACACAAATGTTTACATACTCAGGTTTCAATCACATTTTATTTTGTGAATGTTTGTAAAACTACTCAGACGCCGGAACCTGTATTCAAACTTCAATCATAGGGTTACAGATGAGAGGAATTGAAATCATCAATGTTTTTAGCAAGTCAGTTTTATAAGGGATGGGGTCACTAGCTGACATATTCGACTGTCCCTTTTTTTATCGTGGCTTGAGATCAGCAATAACCCAAAGAGATGCCCTAGGCAGACACTGTCAGAGACTTTCAAAATTAAGCGGAATGTCCTATTCCATTCATTATTTGACCTTCAATAACCTTCTCACTTTACGTGACTTCGTGATCGTCCTAGATATCAATGTCACGTGCTCCAATGTTGTTTCTTATTGGTCGTCTTAACTGTCAATGCCACAAAATTCGATGCTGTTTCCTATTCGACCAAAATGTATAAATACGCATTATCTGTAACATTCTATGACCAGGACCAGCTCCCCGATCCCTAGTCTAGGACCCTGTTTCTCTTCTGGACTCGGACCTCGTGCTTTCTGGATGCTTGTAGAATACACATCTTACTTCATATTAAGTCTTCTCCTTCTATCTAATAGGGGTTTGGGACACTTGGATTAGAGTAGCCTGTCGTGTCGACGGATCCTCGATCCTCGTTCTCGTTTTCCGACTAAGGTAAACTCGTAATAAATAGTTTAAGCACCATCAAACTGACGTGTTTACATGCAAGCGTAACAGAAGATACCAAGATAATTCTCATTGACAGTCTGAAAAAAAAAGAAAACAAACAGGTACTCACTTCAAATCTTTCTTCTGGTAGAACAGCTTCTGTAGCTCGTTCATAAATACGAATAGCACGACGTGCAAGTCCATGTTGTTCTTCAAGTCGTGCATACAATAAATGCAATGCTAAAATAAAATACACACAGACACACACACACACACGCATAAAAAACCATAATAAGATAGATTAAAGTGTTCAGAAAGAAATTAATAATAAGTTAACTGATGAAAAACGACGATCATCTAAGTGGAAACACTTTTGCTCATTTATAAGTGATGTTCTAAAACTTATTCGCAACAGAGAGCAATCTTTAATATCCCTATTACGGTAAACTAATAAAAATATTTAAATTTTAATCGATAGAATTCAATAAGAACACTTGTTGGGATAATGTGTTAGGATATTTACCAAATATCCTAAGAGTACTACTATTTTTAGAAATACAATCCTATTGGTCGATTTCTATTGGTTAAAATTATGATCGTTTTAACAGTCAAAGTCAAATACTTCAATGTTGTCTCTGATTGGTCATCCGGACTGTCAACGTCATTTCAAAGGTTCTTTCCTATTGGTCGTCGTCCTAAACTGTCAATGTCACAGACTTCGATGCTGTTTCCTATTAGACCTAAATGTATAAATACGCACTATCTGTAAGACTTCATGATTCCGTTTCTTCCTGCCTACCTCTCCTCTTCTGTACTCGATCCAATAAACAACTTCATCCAACGGTGTTGCGTTCTGATATATAGGAGATTTGGGGAATAGTATTTGGGTCGTACTGGCATATTTGAATTCGGAAGTCGCTAGCCATACGTAGCAGCATTATAACAGATAGTCAGTCATCCAATATTCTAAGATAATTGTTTGTAAGTTGAATTCTATCACGTAATTCCTATTGGTCATCTTAACTATCCAATGTCACATACTTCAAATGTTGTTCCCTATTGGACCTAACTGTATAAATACGGATTATCTGTAACGTTTTATGACCCAGATCCTTATCCTCTTCTGGACTCGGATCGCGTACTTTCTGGATGCATGTAGAATGCATGTTCTACTTCATTTCAAGTATTCTCCTTCCACTCAGTGGGGAGTTGGAACGCTCGGATTAGAGTAGCCTGTCGTGTCGTAGGATCATCAATTCTTGCTCTTATTTACTGACTAAGGTAAACTCGTAATAGTTCAAGCAACATCAAATGACGTGTTTACGAGCATGCATAACACTTACCAATACAATTGCAATAAAAGGATGTTTCATAAAATTTGAATTCAACATTCAATAAGAAATAGACAACTCCTATTACATTTTTTTTAGCATACCTTTAGCATATTTCGGTGGACATTTCTCTAAACATTGTTCAAATAGATCACGTGCACGTTCTAATTTATTACCACCCTTAAATATTTTACAAAAGAAATATAAATTATGATGAATACGATGAGTAATAAAGAAAAGAGAGGTTTATGAATATTAAATAAGTTCTTACACATTTGAAATCACCAATTAATCATTGTTAGACCACCATTAGAAACCTGGAAGCACTGAAAGACGGCCGTTTCGTCCTGATATGGGACTCCCCTGGTGATAGTGCGCAACCAAGACTCCTGCTCCTCACAGGATTCGAACCCAGGACCTTCGGTATTGTGCGTGAACGCCTAACCATCGGACCACTGGGCCGGCATCCAACGGTGTTAATGTCTAACTCTGATTGATCTAGGGATTTTGCGCGACCTCACCCATAAATAAGTTTGTTAAGTGAATGCAAGAATTTTCAATTCCTATCCAATTCTAATCAATTCAGACTAAATCGACACTGACACTTGAACACAACATGGAGAATAGGCGAAAAGTGTGAGAAGAACGCTTTACTCCAAGGTTAGTTTATGTACAAAAAGGTGAGAATATTTATAGGGTTACATATGGCTTTCGGCTTACGGAAGGTTTGGGAGCGATATAGCTGAGTATTTACAGTGGATTTTGCACTTTCTAGATGCTGCTATCTTGACGTGGTGTTGGTCGGGTTTGCTTATTGTGATGAACCAACCAAGTTATATTGGATGGAACATATGTTCCGAAAGGTTCTATCATATCAGGCAGGTCGATTGGATAACGATCAGACTAAAAGCCGCTACTCAAGGTTTGAGGACAAAGTCTTGCTGCTAACCGTAAAGGGGTGTGACAGTAGTAAGGTGTTTCCCTCGGACAACCAGCATCTGCCTTATCACAAAGAAGCAAGGGGTTAGAAAAGGTCGACCCTAAAAATGTCACACTTTACCTTACCTCAAGGATTTCTGTCTCCGGCGGTAAGGGCTTTTAAACTAGATCGGAGCTAATACTCTAAAAACATCTAATAAAAAGGCCGTGCGCGACCGGCCTCAAGCAGTTGTCCCTTGGGCTCTGCGGTCACACTCTCAGGTCTCTAAGACCAACACTAATCTACCTTCTTTTTCAGGTTCCTCAAGAAACAACCTTCCACGGTGTGTGCAGCCGGGAAGTGACATCCGCCCTCATGGCCATAACTTTAGGGATTAGATACTAATGCAAAGATTTGTATTTAATGCTCGGCACAAAAGTTCAATATCTTGATAGACTGACATTTCTTAATTCATGTAGCTGCGCATTGCCTTTTTTAATCCTACTTCAAATTTTCCTTTTATTACGGGAAGGACGTAGTCATTTTATGTTACTTCATCAACTAGGATGATGAGCGATGTTTTATGATATAGGAATCGTCCGCAAGAAAGCTAAGGGCGAACAAACCAAAACATGGCACAAATCTATGAAGTCACTGACAAGTGGACTGAGTCATGTTAGTAGATGTAGACTACCTGGTTGGTGTCCGCGAGACAATGGTAACCCAGTGATCAGAGACTTTGAATGAGCTATGGCTCAAGATCGTTTATGATGGTGAAGATGCATATCTGTTCTTTGACTTCTTACAAAGTCTAATCTCTTGAAGTTCTCATGGCTTTTCGCCTAATATCAATAATAAACCTACAATTTCTGAAATTCTACGATTTAACCTAGCAATGCCATCTGTGTGTTAAGTGAAATGTGACACCCGGAACTGATGTACGTACGTACCAAAAATTCTACATTTCTACTGACGGATTGTGAATGATTTAGTTAGAGAATATGTTTGAATTTCTTTTGATTTTTATATAAAAAATCATGTTTTCCAAGTCAAAATATACATATGTCAACTATGTTTTACGAGTTCTATCACAAAATGATTTAGATTGGAGAAAGAGATGTTCACATATGAGGTCACTGTAGTGGATGATGCAGAATGGAGTTTGATGGATTCAAGCATAGCAGAGGGCGAGGAGTAGAGCTATCAAGACAGAACTATTTTAAGATACTGAAAATCCTAAGCGACCTATCAGTCAATCAGGGAACACTATCCTTCCTTAAAATAACCAATAGCTAAAAAGGTTATAATATCACCACCATACGTCGAATCCCTCGACTATGAGACAGAGTTTAACGATGTGAACAAGATGACACTATGGAGGCTTCTTCGACACAACAGGTGTACCTGCGACAATAGTCAACATCATACGGGATTTGCACGATGAATTACACAGCAACATTGGGCATGAAAGACAGCTCAAAGTTTAGAAAGACAAAACTAGATGTGTTAAAGAATCCATAAGATTAGGATTTGAGAGAACACAAAGAATAAATGCACCGGCGCCATTGCAAACGGTTTTGAGCCATGTCATTCAAGGTCGCTAACAATCGATCATTATCTTCTCGCGGACTCCAACCAAGTAGTCGACACCTACCGACATGACTTAGTCCACTTGTCAATGAATTGGGCATGTAAGAGAGCTCAAAGATTTATTCCAAGTGAAGATAGGTGTCAGACAAGGCTGCTGCTCACTCTAATACTTTCTTCTCATCCTAGTGGTTGGCTGCATGATGAAGTCCTCAACACATTTCAGGGGAAGTGAGGTATACAGTGGACAGACTGGATGCAGCTAGACGATCTGGCCCTTCTATCCCACAGATAGCGACGAATGAATGTGAAGACGGTTAGTATAGCTGCAGCCTTTGCAGTAGTAGGTCTGAGTATACACAAGAGAAAAAGCAAAATCCTCTGATATGATAACAGTAAACGCTAAGTAAATCATACTTGAGGCAGAAGAATTTGAAGATGTGGGAACATTGACATAACTGAGCAGCATAATGGATGAAAAAGATGTGAAAATATGGACTGACAAAGCCAGAGTAGCATTTCTACAAGTGACGAGCATCTGGAACTCAAAACAGTAATCAACCCAACACCAAAGTCCCAATTTTCAACACAAACATTAAAATAGTTCTTTTATGTGGAGCGGAAACTTGAAGAATCATCAAAGCCATCCTCCAAAAGATACAAGCGTTTATTCACAGTTGTCTAAACAAGATACTCTCTCTCTCTCTCTTTATTACAGGAGAGAACAAACCAGATTCCAGATAAAGAAGAAATTACGGAAAAGCGCCGGAGGTAGATAGGACTCAGTTGGATCACGAAGCAAGTCCTAACTTCGGATCCTCAAGATCAAAGCAACGGTGGTAGACCGAAAAAAAAATACATTGGGCAGAGAACTGGAGACAGGCTTGTAAAGAATGAATAGTAAATAGGATGAAGGATAAATTTAGCTGGAGAATCAGTCAGTCAGTCAGATGCGACGTAGAACTTCCTACGTAAGTACATAAGTTCATGTTGCCATACCACATCAGCACAGAAATATGATTGTCAATTCAAATCCAATAGTAGTAGTAGAGGTAGTAAAGGTATTAGAAGTAATCGGAGAGGTTAGGATGAAAAGATATTATTCAACAAGTATAATTCGGTGAGATAAGTTAAGAAAGATAAAACTAGAGGTGTTGAACAATCCAGAAGATTAGGATTTGAGAGAACACAAAAAATAAATGCTCGTGCGCCAGTCCAAACGATTGTGAGTCATGTCATTCAGGGTCTCTAACCATCGATGATTATCATCTCGCGGACCCCAACCAGGTAGTCGACAGTTACCGACATGGCTCAGTCCACTCGTCAATGACTTCATGGATTTGTGCCATGTTTTGGTTTGGCCGGCCCTAACTTTCTTCCAACCTATTCCTACACTACAAAACAAAGCTCGTCGAGGCAGTCGGTGGTTAGGCATACGCAAGATATGTCCCAACCACCTCAACTGATGAAGTTTCATTACTTCACCTATTGATTTGCCATCTCTACCTAGCACCCGTTTCCTAATAACAGCGTTGCTCACTCGGTTGTCCGATGATACACGAGCGATGCTTCGGAGACACCTATGATCGAAAACCATTAACCTACGAATATCTTCTACTCTCACTGGCCATGTTTCACAGAATGCTAATCGGTCGCCTATCATCCTCCATTAGATATTAACAGGCATAAGTCAATAATTAGTGCGTACATACTAGTTAGTGAGAAATTGCAAAATTAGAATGATACAGATTATTTTTGATTGTTACAACTAATTATAAAACACTAGAGTTACATTTTAACACACCGAAATATAATTTTCACTTACATAACGTTCAATAAATTTCGATAAATAAGTAGCCCATATATCATAAACATTTGGCCAACGAAATAATGCAACACCTTTTTCATAGGCCTTTTTTATAAAGAAGATAAAATGAACAACACACACACATGAAAAAATATGAATGAAATATTTTTTTTAAAAAAATAAAAAAAATTATGAATAGTCAAAATGAGAACATGTACATTTCAATCTTAATTGCTGCTTGTATATTAGTTGTTACATCCTGTTAGTGCGACATAAATGGAATTAAAGCATGACTACGTTGCTGCGCGCTGATTGGCTAATTTCCTATCCAATCAACGCCTGATCGAAGCTTGGAGAACAGAATAGAAAATTCTCGTATTGTTAGCTGCATGCTGATTGGCTAAATCTATAATCCAGTCGATCACGTGAATTACTACTATCCAGAAGCATTCTCATGTAAATGCTATAAATAGACTAACGTTGTATCTATTTTTGCCTTTGCCTTCGCCTTCGCCATCACCTTTGGCTTCTTATTTCCATTTAACCTTGCTATTTGGAATATAATCTTTTCCTGTTCCACTGTGTTCTTGATTCTTGGGAACTTGTTCAGTGTTTTGTAGTCAGAGAATACACTAAGCAATAGGAATTAGCTGGGAATTATTTAAGCGTAGCGTTACAATACATCCCAATGATAATTCTAACTATAAGACTGTGGAGATGGTTGAGTTTTTGATTGAAATTCTGAAAAACGACCGTTCAATGCTTTCAGGTTTCTAATGCTGATGTGATATCTATCTAACTAACATTGATCGATTTATAATAACTTCAATCGAAGGCAACAATCTCCAGAGGAATTTTCTCTGAGTTTTAGTGAGAAGTCATAACTAGTGGAGTATAAATCTGTTGGGTGTGAAGCAATGTGCTCACAGAAGATAGTGGATGATTAAAACTAGACACTAGCACCGTTGGATCGCGACTGAGTGGTTTAAGTGGTTAAGTGTTCGCGTGCATTGCGTTATTGTCTTTACTCACCAAACCTACTAACCCTATTGAACGGAAGACTTCATACAGTTTATTATCAAGTTAAAGGGTTTGATGATAGTAGTAGAGTATACAGTGGATAACGTCTCCTAATAACGGAGGAAAGGAGTTAGAAAAGGTTGACCCTTAAAAATGGAACAGTTCACCTAGACCAATGAATCGAAAAGTAACAACCATTTTCACAGATTCTAATAGTCGCAGTGGATTACTTAAAATAAGTTTCATCTATCTGAATAAAACCACTGCGTTAGAAAGTGCGATGTCGAGATCTGAATATTCTGAAAGTTCTAACTAAACACAAATGGATGGGTTAGGCGTGAATTTCATCCTGTAGGACATTTGCTAATGGTTATCAGATTGATTGACTGGTCTGATTGACTCATTATATCATACCATTACGACCCATAGTCAAGTTGTCATTAAGAGTTTCTATTATACATTCCTGAATTACTAAATGTTTGTATGGTATACACTTAACTCCTGCGACAGCAGAGAAGATTGATTTTTAAGATATACAACGTACATTCGTATCAGTCGAAAAAAATAAGCTGCAAGGATGTATTATACAACAGAGATGGTTTAATTCAATAATCCACTAGAGTTGAGCACTATGGAACGATTTTGAGCCATCTCTCTAACCATCGGGGACTTACGTCTCGCGGACCCAAACTGGGTAGCCTACATCTACCAACATGACTCAGTCGACTTGTCAGTGACTTCATGCATCTCTGTCATGTTTTGGCTTGACCGCCCTTAGTTTTCTTCCAACCTATTCCTACACTGCGGAACAAAGCTCGTCGAGGCAGTCGGTGGTTAGGCATACGCAACACATGTCCCAACCACCTTAACTGATGAAGTCTCACTACTTCATCTATTGATTTGCCATCCCGACCTAGCAACCCTTTCGTAATAACAGCGTTGCTCACTCAGTTGTCCCAGGATATACGAGCAATGCTTCGAAGACACCTATGATCGAAAACCAGTAACCTTCGAATATCTTCTACTCTGACTGGTCATGTTTCACAGCCATAAAGTAGGACGGAACGAACTCAAATAAATAGATGGCCGACTATGACGCCGCTCGATTCCCAAATGCCCTGATACGGCCAACAGTGAGAAGCGCTTGCTCTACTTTTCAAAAGGATTTCGCAGAAACCACATGTGTAGCCACTATCACTTCCACTTCTCAAAGCGGTGTTTCTTAAGAAATTAAGAGGGTGAAAACTAAATATCTGATCAGGGCTTAAACCGGATTGGTGAGTACGGAGGATCCATCTAGAATAATTGAAAAATTCTGATCCTAAACCAATCGTTCACATGAGCTCAAGGATCCTGAAGTAATGAATGGCGTATGGACCTACTGTTCATGACTGGCTACCATCCTAACGTCGTTCCATTATGTTATGGATCAGACCTATAGTTCAAAGACTTGTGTGATGGCCACCTACAAAATCACTTGGTTTGTGAACTCGAGAAGTAAGTAACTCAAGCCACATACAAAAGTGTGGCGCATATAAATATATTCACCTGCCTCCTTGTATCAAATATTAATGTGCTCTAGATACAAGACACAGCATCGAATTCAATTTAGAAGGCCCGTTAATACCAAATAATTATTTACATTGAAACTTAATTTAGAATTGAGCTTACATATTAATCGCTAAATGACGTAAATTCATCAGAATTTTGCACAAGGAACAAAACTTATTCAAGTTTAAGTATACTATGTTGATCGCTAGAGGCAATCAGTCAACAGGAAATTCAAGTTTCATCTACAATTTGTGTTAATCGAATCTCTGCAATGTCAAAGCCAATTGGTCAATGTCACTCAGCTCTACACACAACCTAAGGCGTTATTCATTCAGCTAGGCTATCCGAGCTGCAACTCACCTTCATCGAGAAGCGACATATTTAACAATCGGCTATGCAAAATGAATGATTAGAGAAATGATTACATCAACTAGACAACTGATCATAGACAGTACTGTAAATATAAAAACAGGGCAAAAAAACACAAAAAATCATTGTGTACAACAATTGTTTAACTAACTCACCTTAAAAGCATCTTCGAAATAATTTAATTCTTCCAAAAATAAAGCATAATTCATGATAATTTGAGGTGTGGCTATACGTAAATCAATCATTCGATCATAAGCAGCCTGTGTGTAGATGTGAGATAACAGAGAGAGAAAATATATGTATCAGTACATAGAATTATGAAAGAGAGAGAATATTATCAAGTAAACAGCCAATCAATCAATTAATCAATAGAAACGTAGAACTATGTACGTACGTATGTACGTACATCAGTTCATGTTACCATACCACATTAAAACACAGAGAGAGATGTGATTGTCAATTCAAATCCCATAATAGTAGTAGAGGTAGTAAAAGTATTATTAGCAGTAGTCGGAGAGGTTAGGATTAGAAGATATTATTCACACTATGCTGACAAGTGCTGAAAAGCGCGTAACATGGGTTCAAAATTTCCTATCGACTACCACTAACTAACAACTTACATTTCAATATAGTGAAGATGATGTCAAGTCACTTATACACGTGAACATATTAACTGATAAAATTTGACTAGCACTCGGTGAGTCAATCAGTCAGTAACAACGCAGAACTACGTACGTAAGTACATCAGTTCAAGTTGCCATACCACATTAGTACAGAGACGCAAATCTCACAGCAGTAGAGGTAGTAAGTATTTGGGAGAAAATAAAGAATGGATGCATCTGCGCGATTGCAAACGATTTGGAGCCATGTCATTTAATGTTTCTAACCAGCAGTTACTATCTACCCGCGGACCTCAACTAAGCAGTCTACATATACCAACATGGCTCAGTCCAATTGTCAGTGACTTCATGGATTTCTGCCATGTTTTGGTCTGGCCACCCCCAGCTTTCTTTCAGCTTACTCCTACACCATATAACATTGCTCGTCGTTGCAGTCGGTGGTTAGGCATACGCAACACATGTCTCAATCACCTCAACTGATGAAGTTTCAATAATTCATCTAGTGACCTGCCATGCTTACCTAGTACCTGTATCCTAAAAACTACATTGTTCACTTGATGGTCCCAGGATATATGAGCAATGCTTTGAAGACACTAATGATCAAGTACTAATCGCTTACCAATACACTCTACTTTTAGTTTTACATCTATAGAGCTGGACGAAGCGAACTGCTGCGCAGTACACTCGTCCTTTGATTAGCAAAAGGATATCTCTACTACGCCATAAGTGACGTAAGTTGTTAAAAGCCAGTCGAGCCTTCTGTGTGCGTGCCAAGATTTCGTCAGTCACCAGGCCATCAGCACTGATAAGACTCCCAAGATAAGTGAAGCGGTCAACAAAATACCAGCACTAAGAAGGACTTGACACACATGTGACAGTATACATTATTCAATAATCAATTGGTCGCGATCACGTGTGTTACATTTGGTATATTTCACAATATCGAATGGTTCCTGGACCAAGAAACACATTAGGGTAAGAATCAAAAACAGACACGAAAACAATGAATAGCAAGCGATTGAGTAGAACTGGAAAGTAGAGCGGAGGATAGAGTTGGCAGGGGGATGCTGATCAGACATCTATGCTCCGTTAGGGGTGATAGGAGTACGTAAGTAAATAAGTATGTTAACATTAAAACATAAATTCAAAACTGTATAAAGATGTTTAAACTAACCAAATGCAAAAGATTTATCTTGAGACAAATATTTTAAGGTACTTTCATTTCTACTGAATGTATCTCCTAGTTAAGTATTTAAAGTTTACAGTTATTACAAATAAACTAGTATATTCGTCATTTCAATTAGATACTTTGTATGACAAACAGAATGGAATGTTTCAGTGAAATCATGTACTGATCAATGGTAGACTGACATTAGAAACATGGAAGCGACGTTTAAACGGCTGTTTCATCTTAGTATAGTATTTATTAACAGTGCTCATCCACAACCCCACATTGGAAAATCGAACCCAAGACCTTCGATCTTGAGTATGAACGCCTAATCTTTGGTCCACTGAGTCAACATTCAACAGTGTTCTTAGCCTAACTTCAATCACTCCATGATATAACGCGCCCATTTCCCAATCGTTTCCGATGCGTATGTTACGCCTGCACGTAAACACGTCAACTTGATATACTTGAACTATTACGTGTTTACCTAGTTGAAAAACGAGACCAAGGATAGAAGATCTGGTGACACGACATGCTACTCAAATCCGATTATCCCAACCCCCATATTGAGTAGAAATAAGAAGACGTGATATGAAGTAGAACCTGTGTTCTACAAGCATCCAGAAAGTACGAGGTCCGAATCCAGAAGAGAATCAGGATCCCTGATTAATGATCCGGGTCCTGGTCGTAGTCAATAAACGTTACAGATAATGCGTATTTATACATTTTGGTCGAATAAGAAACAGTATCGAATTCTGTAACATTGACAGTTAAGACGATCAATAGGAAGCAACATTTGAAGTGACATTGATAGTCAGGACAACCAATAAGAAACAACATTGCAGTACGTGATATTGACAGTCAGGACGACCATAAAATTGACCAGTAGTCATTAACCAATAGGAATTGACCAATAATTCTCTTAGGATATTGGATGAATATCCTAACAGGGTACCTTCCTCTAATCCAACACACAATTGTTGAACTACACTGATCACAATTTCCTCATATGAGAACTCAAAAAAAATTATCCATCACAAAGTTAATCACTAACTAATCAGTACAATCTTCTACTACTCTCACATAGTAAAAAAACACCACAGGTTAATTGATGAATTAATTTACCTTGGTTGTTTCAAATGTACCAAAACTTTCTTCTAAATCTGTATACAATGACCATAAACGTAATGATTTATGTAGACGTGATTGAACTGGTTCTGATCGATCATAATAATCTACTTTACGTGATGGTGCTGTAGTTGCTTTGCCTAATAAACGTAGTGCTGTTTCAGGTTGACTAAATATTTTATAAGAAAAAATATAAGAACATCATTATAATAGAATGAATATAATATACAATTTAACAAATCAAAAGACTAAAAACGAAGTCAAAAGTGAGGTATTAAGTAGGAAATGTCTGTTTGATTAACTAAGACGTTTATCAGTCAGTCAGTCAGTCAGATGCAACGTAGAACTTTGTACGTAAGTACATCGGTTCATATTGCCATACCACATTAGAACACACAGAGATGGAATTGTCAATTCAAATCCCATAACAGTAGTAGAGGTAGTAAAGGTATTAGAAGTAATCGGAGAGGTTAGGATTAGAAGATATTATTCAAGAAATATGATTCAGTGAGATAAGTTTAGAAATTCAAAACTATAGGTGTTGAAGAATCCAGAAGATTTGGATTTGAGAGAACACAAAGATTAAATGCGCCGGCGCCATTCCAAACGATTTTGAGCCATGTCATTCAGGATCTCTAACCATCGATTATTATCATCTCGCGGGCGACAACCAGGTAGTCGACAATTACCAACTTGGCTAAGTCCATTCGTCAATAACTTCATGGATTTCTGCCGTGTTTTGGTTTGATTGGCTCTAGCTCTCTTCTACACTACAAAACAAAGCTCTTCGAGGCAGTCGGTGGTTAAGCATACCCAACACATGTCCCAAAAGACGTTTATACCTAGAAACCATGAATGAGTCATTGTTATACCACAATTAGAAGAAACCTGGAAGCACTGGATGAAGGCCGTTTCGTCCTGGTATGGGACTACTCATCAGCAGTGCGCACCAACAACTCCAGTTACTCACAGGATCCAAACCCAGGACCTCCGATCTTGCGTACACGAACGCCTAATCTCCGGACTACTGAGCGGGCATCTAACGGTGTTAATATCTAACTCTAATCAATCTAATGACTGTTGCGCAACCTCACCCATTTATCTTCGGTATTTACTGCCTACATCCGACAGAATTAAACTCCACTCGTCACTGGACGGTTATGACCATGAGGTATGTACGCGCTTTACTAGCTCCCTCATATAATCTCTACTAGACAAATACATTCCCTGTTTAACCAAGTAAAAAGCTTGATAAGTAAATAAGTCATTCTTGATCTTATCTCTTGTTCTATAGGCCTTACACAATCGTCTACACACTGTTGTTTGATTAGTTTGGCAAACTAAGAAAAAATAACACAGAGGCTTCACTGTCAATTTAATCTATTCACTCTACAATGTGCTTGTTGAGTTAGTCCACATTCAATGTAACATGGAATACGGCGAAACAGCGCAATGTTTGTGATTCGATTTCTCTCTTCACTAATGATGAATAAATGTGAGAGATAAGAAACTTCCAACCATTTCGTAGTATGATCTAACTATTCCATGACGAGAGAAAACATAACAGCTAGGATCTACGAGACTGTTTAGTTTTAACCCGACCGAAGCTGCTACCTTGACGTGGTGGTCGGGCTTGCCTATCGTCATGACCCAACCGAGCTATATTGGCTGGAACATATGTTCCTGAAGGTTCTACCATACCACGCAGGTCGATTGGAGAACGATGAGACTAAAAGCAGCTACCCAAGGTCTGAGGGCGAAGTCGTACTGCTCACTGCAGAGAAGTGTGACAGCAGTAAGGTGTTTCCCTCGGACAGCAACCAGCATCTGCAGCGATGCTGCCTTCTCACAAGGAAGGAAGGGTTAGAAAGGGTCGACCCTAAAAATATCACACCTCACCTTACCTCAAGGATTTCCGTCTCCGGCGGTAACGGTGCCCACTAAGGGCTTTCAAAAAAAGCGGAGCTAACACTCAAAAAACTCATAAAAAGGCAGTGCGTGACCGGCCTCAAGCAGTTATCCCTTGGACTCTGCGGTCACGCTCCCAGATCGTTAAGACCAACGCTAATATACCTTCCTTTTCAGGTTGCTCAAGAAACAACCTTCCGCGGTGTCGGCAGCCGGGAAGTGACAACCGCCCTCATACCCGTAACAGCAAACGAAACCGAATTGGTCAAAATCAAATGCTTTGTTTTAAAGTAGTTAGCTGAGTAAATAATCAAGTAAATGGATAGAATATTATAATTATTCATAGGGGTTCCAAATGCCCCCTAGTACGGTCGACAATGAGGAGAGTTCACCCTCCCTCTCCAAATGCATGCTCTTATATGACCACCACACATGTACAGCCACGACTGACAGAGAAGTGTTATTCACTGAATAAAATTAGGTATTTGGTTTCAACTGAACCCAGGACTATCGGTTTCACACGAGAACGCTTACACCTCCAGATCACTGAGCAGGAATCCAACGGTATTAAGATCTAGCTCTAGTCAATCTAAGGATTACTAATAATAATAATAATGTGTGTGTGTGTGTGCGTGAACACACTTACTCATGACGCATTTCCATTTCAGCCCATTCACACCAGATAGCCGCCAAATCTTCAACATGTAAAAATGCAACACCAGTTGCTTTTTCCAGCACAACACGTGCATCACTCAGTTGACCATGTTCTTCATAAAGACGTGATAAACCAGTCCACAGAGATGATGGACGACCAGCAGTTGCTTTAGCTAAAACATGATAACAAGAATAATAAAAATAGTAATAAATTGTAAATATAATTTAAAGAGTAGTTAAGTTTCTTCTACAGTCTGTTAGTTACAACGTAGAACTTCGTACGAACGTACGTACATCAGTTCAAGTTGCCATGTCATTCAGGGTCTGTAACCATCGATTACTATCATCTCGCGGGCCCAACGAGGCAGTCGACACATACCAGCATGGTTCAGTTCACTTGTTAGTGACTTCATGGATTTGTGCCATGTTTTGGCTTGACCGCCCGGGTTGGTACGTACAGAAGATCCATCTAGGATAGTTATAAAATCCTGATTTCAAACCGATCGTGCACATAGATCAGCTCCTAATTCTCAGGAGACAAAAGGTGTATAAACCTATTGTTAGTAACTGGATATCATTGAACTGAACCTCCTAAGGTATGTTCACTGACATGTGGAGTAGGACTTCTAAGTCAAAGGCTCGGGGAGAAGCCTCCACAAAAACGACAAGACTTCAATTTGGGCACCCGGGCTACTTGCCTGTCCACACGAAAATTCATTGATTTATGTGGTGCATAGATATTTTGATTCCTTTTTCGTAATCAAATAACCTAATGTTTTAGAAACAAGGCAATGCAAAGTAGACAATATATGAGGAAATTCTTTTTAAAGATTTTCAATGTGTATCGTATTTGAAGTATTTATATCATCCTTAAAACAGGACACTGAGTAATTAATATTTACACTTCATATAAGATTTTAAATTAAATTAAATCAGCTATTCCTTTATGCACCTTGGGAAACACGGAATAATTGATGCTGAATTCAATCACATAGATTTCGAACTAGCAGGTAGAAGTAAAACTCGACAACAACACATGTACATAAGGTTTAGAAGGTTAGATAGCACTTGCCAGATTCACACAATTAATTGTTGGACAAGAAAAGCATGTACTTCGTAAATGCATCAAAATAAGATTCAGTCAGTTAGTCAGTCAAAAACAACATATAATTTCGTACGTCCATGTTGCCAAACCCCATGAGCACATAGGGACTGAATTGTCAATTCAAATCTCGCAGTGATAGAGGTAGTAGAAGTATTAACAGTAATCAGAGAGATTAGGGTTTGATGCAGTCGGTGGTGAGGCATACGTAACACCTTTCCCAAACACCTCAATTGATGAAGTTTCACAATTTAATCTATTGATCTGCCATCCTTACCTAGTACTCAATTCCTAACAACAGGATAGATCAAATTAAGACATGATTGGAATATATACTTAGTACTGGTCGATAAAATAGGGGTTAGTTAGTTATTCTAATTGTGTACATAGAAAATAGTAGCTAACAATGAGTGGTTCAAATCATCAATCAATCATTGTTCGACTAACGTTTGGAAACCTTGAAGCACTGGACGGCCATCTCGTCCATAACTCTAATTGAAAAAATTGTACTAAGTGCTCACCAGTAACTAGTTTTGTGAGGGCATTCTCGGTGTTCTAATGAGATGTGACCACTGGAGTTCAAACGTGTCTGGTATAGGCAATAATTAACGAATAATTAACAAATGGGTCAGGTCACGCCAAATCTCTAGATTGATCAGAGTTAGACATTAACACCGTTGAATGCCGGCTAAGTGGTCTAGAGGTTAGGCGCCACAGACCCAAAGGTCGTGGGTTCGAGTACTGCGAGTAGCAGGAGTAGTGGATACGCATTGCTGATGAGTAGTCCCATACCAGAACGAAATGGCCGTCATCCAGAGCATCCAAGTTTCTAACTGTGGTCTAACAGTGACTGATTGATGATTTCAACGTGTAAACACACTGATCTCCATAACTCTAATCGAAAAATCCTCGTTAACTATTTACAACAATTTTTTTGCAGTTGTTTTTATGGAAAAATTAATTAACACTTACCTGGATCAACCGATGTAATACCTTCCATGAATGCTGCAATTTGTTCACGTGCTCCTTGACTTTTTAATAATTCAACACGTTTTAACCAATCGGCAACATTATGAGGATTTTGACGTAACAAGACACTGTTTAAAAGTAATGGACGACGATCCATGAGAGATTCAAGACGTGCCAAATACAATTCAACATCCAATTCATCTAACGAAGAAATTAATGGGATATCAGTAAAGAAAATGAATGGAGCAAACGATCATAAATAGATTGAATTCGACAGCAGAGTATCCCTATAGTAGATGGGAAAAAGTGCGTAACGCACCGATTTATGTCAGGCTTTACGTTGATTCAGTCAGTCACAACGTAGAACTTCGTACGTAAGTACATAAGTGCAGGCTATCATACCGCATTAGCACACAGACGTAAATTTCAATTCAAATCCAATAGTGGTCGAGGTGGTAAAGCTATTAACAGTATTCGGAGAGGTTAGAATTAGAAGATAGTATTCAAGAAGTAGAATCTAGTGAAATAGACTTAAAAAGATAAAGATAAAGTGACGAAGAATTAAAAAGTGTGATTTGAGAGAACACAAAGAATGAACGCACCTGCTTCATTGCAAACGATTCTAAGCCATGTCATTCAAGGTCTCTAATCATCGGTGACTTTCGTGTCGCGGACCCCAACCAGGTAGCCTACATCTACCATGATTCAGTACACTTGTCAGTGATTTCATGGATTTCTGCCATGTTTTGGTCTGGCCGCCCCAAGCTTTCGTCCAACCTATTCCTACACTGCAAAATATAGCTCGACGAGGCAGTCGGTGGTTAAGCATACGCAACACATGTCCCAACCACCTCAACTGATGAAGTTTCAATACTATGTTGATTCTAATTGACAGTAGTAAGTTCAGGTGTTTAAAACTGATTGACTCACGGTATATAAACTCACCAGAGTACCTCCATTGACTAAAAAAAACCCTAGGAAAATAATGCTGACATTATTCAATGCCTATAATGTCGCATTACTACCAACTACTTAATAACGTACATGTACAGATGCTGGTTGTGCGAGGGAAACACCTTACTGCTGCCCCCATCACAGTCAGCAGTACGACTTCACCCTCAGACCTTGGGTAGTTGCTTTTAGTCTCATCGTTCTCCAATCGACCTGCCTGGCATGGTAGAACCTTCAGGACCGTATGTTCCAGCCAATATAGCTCGGTTGGGTCATGACGACAGACAAGCCCGACTACCACGTCAAGGTAACAGCTTCGGTCGGGCATTAAAATATCACTATATTTTTCCGTAGAATTACTAAACTATTCAAAGGAAACTAATAGACAATCTCACCATCTTCTGTCACTTCAGATTGTTCTAATGAAGCCATTTTCGCTTTTGCCATCGATTCTTCAAATTCAGCATATGCATCAAACACTTGAGTGAAATCACGTACAGTTGAAACACTATTCAATGCTTCAGCATATACATCTCTAGCACGTGATAAATTTTCACAACGTATATGATAATCAGCTAATGAATTCCATAGAACACCAACTTGATCTGTATAACGATGAATTCCTTGACGAATAATTGGATCCGCTTTCAACGAGGTGATTTTCAATGGATTTTTCACTAAAAGATTACATAATTGATTCCACAGTTGAAATTTCGATTTTCCTTCACGACTCATAAAACTATCATCATTAATAATTTCTGACAGGACAACAGCAGCTTCATTAGCATTCCCGTGTTGTATAAGAAAATTCACAAAACGTTCCATATCATCAGGAGCAAACTAAAAATTGATGAACGGGATCAAGTGATTTTCAGCAAATTTACACACATACTTTTACATATCGTCGATAGATTCGTACACAAGTCTCATTAATTTTATGACCATGTCGATCAGCAAATCTTAAATATAAATTCCATATTCGATCATGCTGGGTAATTGGTAATGCTTTCAATGCTCTGTCGAATGCATGTCTTGTACGTGTGATTAATCCTTGTGACATTAAAAACAGCAAATAATCTATCCATATACGAGGCATCTAGAAAGGAAAATTGTTTATAGTATAGTAGTTAATTACTTTATGCATTGTAACAAGAGCTCTTTCATGGGCATTGTTAGTCTCTTCATGCAAGATACTTCCAGGACAAAGAGAACGTGAATGGACACGTCGAAGACGTAGATAACGATACCATAATTTATAACTTTATTTACATGAAAATCAAAATCAGTATAAATATGAAAAATGTTATTATTTATTACCTTCCTGGTAATTGTTTCACAGCTCGTTCATATAACATATACACTACTTTTGGTGGTGATTTCGCTTTCATACTTATATATCGAAGCCATGATTTAACGCTGTGTGGATTACGAATAAGTTCTTCTTCAAATGGTCTATCTTGTTCATCCTAGAACAGTAAAATAGTAGTATTGATAATATATATAATTGTGAAAAATAATAACAACATACGATAACGATAACTGGATCTTCATCCATGGCTGTTTGATTGTTTGATTTTTTGGCTTGTCAAAAAACAAAATGATGATACGTTGAGATTATTTGCCCCTGTAAACAGTAAAATAAGATAGACAGAAAAATATAAGTTAAGTTCAGTCA